GGAACTTTGCCACAGATACAAGGGTTGGGATATTCTGGTTATCTCTGCACACGGAGTTCAGGAGCAGATGCATAGCCATGACCGAAGCTGTCTGTGCCCTACTGCAAACCTATTAACATTTGCACTTCTTTGAGGTGTAGAAAATTCCACCTTGACCATGAACTTAAAGGAAATAACTATTTTTTTTAAAAGCTTTTTACTGGATATTAAGAAAAGCAGCATTAAATGGCATAGGGGAGTCTCTTACCTATCAAACAAGGGATATAATATTTTAGCACAAGGTGACGGTATCACTAATCTTGTATTAAGATTATTTTACAATGGAAAACATAAGGGCAAGAGCAGGAGTGCCTGGAGCTAGCAAACAGCTCAGCCTAAAGAGCCAGAAAATATATGCTTCTTAATTGGGAGCTTTAATATATTTCCCCTTTTCTATGCCAGAATGGCAGCACTCAGCCAATACAGAATTAAATGGACCTGGACAAAGCAGCTGCCTGAGTAGCATAATTAGTTGGTGGCTCCGAGTGCTCTCTAATTCAATTAGCAACACCATTTATCAGAGGGAGCTGAGATTTACATTTGCACTTGCTGACGTCAATGTGAGAATCGCAGCGAGTCCCAGAAGCCTGCAGTTCAGCAGGCATGAATTGAGCTGCTGGGGTCATTTATTTTCAAAGAATAAGAGCTGGAGTTGGAAGGGTTTTTAATGTGCCTCGCTCCATGGCCCTGCGCTGCAAACCTGTAATCTGAGCTGATTGCTGCTTCCCTCACAGCTCAGCTTGAGGGGATGCTTTTTTTTTTTTTTTTAAAGCTGCATTTTAATCATGCCTTTTACACTTACTTCATGTTTAGCAAGGGCTGCTTCAGAATTGTTTGTGTGGAAGCAGGTGCCAGATTTGATATACACGTCATGGCACCGGGCTGAGGGCAGGGAAAATGCTCGGAAATGAGCAGTTTGGGTTTATAAAGGAGGATCCTGAAACACCTTCTCTGACCCTATGCACAGGCCTCTGTGCATATATTTGCACATGGGCTTTTCTGCACAGACTTTCCCGTGCTGCACTCAGTCGTGCAAGATTTTACACGTGTAGAGTTTGCAGGTGAAACATAGGCAGCTCCTCTCTGGAAATAGCCCATAACTGTCAACAGTCTTGCTTGAGGCGACCATTTTATAGCCAGATGCTCTGAAACCCAGCCGGACAGGAGACCACCACCCTCTAGTGACCTGCTAGACAAGACGAGGCTGAGCACGGCACACACACATAGCTCATGTCACCAAACCAGATTCATCAGCCAGCTGTGTGCGCTGTCTCTACTCTGGGGAGCCTGTGCCTTCCACCAGTTCCAAGTGCCTTCGGGGCAGAGTGGCAGGAGGGAGGTTGCATTCGATTCAATTAAAGCTTTCTGTGGGGGCATTCACCTAACCTGCTGGAGCTCCTACAGCCCATGTCACTGCTCCTCCTGTGTGGCGAAGTTCCCAGTCCAGATAATTACCCTCTCAACTGCAGCAGGGACAGCACGAATTGGATTTGTCACTTCAAACAAATAAACAAGAAAATTCTGTGCCTTCAGGAGCAATTGCCACAGCTTCTCACCACCAGGGAGGATGCTGGCACCCAAGATAGCAGACCTTTGTGATCTCTCACATCGCTCCCATCGGCACTAATTCACAGGACTGGTTAAAAAACATGAACTGCATCCCTTGAATAGTCCCTTGTTGCATTGCTCTGGTGCCTACAGCGACATTCCCAGCTGGCATAGAGAATGGGCGAGATGAGACACTCGCATTACTGGCCAGATCTGTTCCCCAGCATGCTTGGCGATCAGCAAGACTAGGCATATTATGTCCAAGGCCAGAGAGGGCGAGCAAAGGAAAGGCTACTTAAACAGCAGGGAACGTTGCCACAGAGTCACAGGCAGTAGGACCCACCAAGCGCGCCCTCTTTGCAAAGGGTAAAGTGCAAAGTGGATGCTCCACAAACGGCAGCGGAATGCAGGGGCCACACTGGCGGTCTGCAGGGTGGAATGGACTCCATCTCTTGGAGACATTCAACCCTCAGCAGATAGATCTGCAGCCTATGTTAGCAATTAGCTCACCAGCCAGCTGGTAACAACCCAGCTCCAGTCCTGAAATGAGCTAGTATCTAACTGGAGAATCAAGAACAAAAGCATGGTGCTTCACAGTCACTCCACTGATATAACGAATGCCTACAGTATGAGCCAAACAATACTATCTATCTAAGGAACATGTCTGGCGTCTAAGCACATCTCAATCAGTAACTTATTTATCCTCACCACACCCCTATGAGGCAGGGCAATGCTATTCTCTCCATTCTACTAATGGGAAACTGAGGCACAGAGACTAAGTGACTTGCCCCAAGTCACACAAGAAGTCTCTGACAGAGCAGGGATTTGAACCCTGCTCTCGCAAGTTCCAGCCAATGCCCTAGCACCTGGACCATTCTTCCTCTCTGATTGGCTTATGACTGGGAGATTAAGATGTAAAAACTTTACAAGCCAGCAGGACAAAACCAAGAGCTTTAGAAAAGGCATTTGCAAAGCCTTTTCCTGCCACCACACTAGGGCCTGGCCAGCACAGCAGGGCCCTGATCTTGGCTGGGGCTTCTAGGTGCTCAAGTGATACAAGTAAATAATGGTCTGGCCAGGGAATGGAGCAGATTCAGAGCTAGTAAGCCTTGTTTATCTCTCTGTGCTACAATCACTTGAGTCAGCTTTGGAGAGTCCATACTGGAGTCTAACATTTCCCTGTTCAGGCAGGCCCTGGTTCAGGGCACAGTTTAGCCTGTTTCCATCAGATTGAGTCTTTGGGGTTTTGCTGTAGGGTCTGCATCAGGAGCCTCTATGGTGCTCAGAACAATGAGTGAAGTACTTCAAAATTCCTGGGAAAAGAGTGCAATCAATAAGGGACACCACGCTCGCGGGGGTGGGGGATGCTGGAACGCTGACTACTCCGCTCAGACCCTGCTGACCGAGACCTCCTCTGCTGCACATTCCCTCCTCTATTTGCACCACGCACTCCAGCTGCACAGATTCAGACACGCTAAAGTCCACTTAATTGGTGGGAGGACAGCCTGGCACAGCACATCCTGAACCTTGTGAATCATCAAGGTGCACAGCAGGCATGAAAATCAGACCTGCTGCTATGGCAACCTGGCCTTCTGCACACACAAAGGCACTGCACCTCCTTTCTGCTCAAGCTGTGAGACGCTGATAGGGAACAGCACGGAGAATTTCAATGCAGCAGAAGCGCACGCAAGAGAAGAGAGGCTGCCCAGAGACACACATGGGGCCAAGACTCCCACTGGCTGATTTCTGATCCCCTGTCAGTACGTGCTGCATGAATCCCTGGAACCACAGCAGTCCCCTCCCAGGTCTAAAGAGCTCCATAAAGGCAATGGAATCCTTTGTTATGGGGCGAAGGAAGCCAATTACCCCCCCTGCCCTGCCCTTAGTCAATCTGTGCCTTTGTTCTACAACCTCAGTAACTTCTCTACCAGGGAGTGCAGGGTCCAGGCTGAGGCAGGTGTCTAAGTGCCAAAGAGAGAAGAGATACTGGTGTTTTACCTGGCTCAAGAGAGGCCTGTCCATTTTTTATTATTCTGCAGTTTCACCTGACTGATTGATTGTTAAAGCGGTCACCATGCTCCACAGCTTTCATGAGTCTCCCCCTTTTTCTGGCAACGTCACAAGTTTCTGCGATGCTACCATTCCTGTACTATGCCACCCCACCCAATGGGAACAGCACAGCACGGTCTCTCACTGCAAGCTGGACACAAAGCATCATTTGCCAAACACCACTGACCAATGCTGAAACTGTCCAAGTGAGCCTACCAGGGCAAGGTGAGAGCTCAGTCATCCCATCTAGTTTAAAACTCTGAACAGCTGACTGATCTAATGCCCAGCCTCTGGGCTGCCATGCCGTACGTCCGGGTTTGTTACTTGTCCCCTGGGGTCACAGGGTGGCTGGCTCCCAGGATTAAAATAGGCCCAGGTCCCATATGCCAGAGCAGGTGCTCCCAGCCGAACCAGCTAAGGTGGTGAGGCTGCACCTGGGCTATAGACAGTGCAAGGAAGTCCCGTGAGGGCAGTACTAGAAGTTGCACTGCAGAGTGAAGCTGCAGGAAGACAGCATCTCCTGCAATGGTCCCAGAAGAAGGGACGGTACCTCAGGGAAGAGGGGCTATGCCTAGCTTAAGGCTGAGTGGAAGATTCTTTTGTTTGTAACTTTGTTAATTTAATTAAAAACCCAGATCCATTGGGTAAAGCACAACCTTGCAGCTTCCCATCACCCGACTGCATTCGTTTGGAAAACTTTAGCTGATCATCTGTCTTGTGCACCAAACCTGTCCTTACTAGAGAATCATGGGCCAGCATGAGAAAATAAGAGGGCACTAGATTCTGTGTTGCTGCTTTTTAATGGATCTTTCCAGCAAACCCCTCTTCCCATTGCATGACAGTTGCCTTACAATATCTTTATAAATAAGCATCCAAGAATCATTTAGACCAGGAAGCTACCGCCCTGTCGGGATTGCACCGTCACTTTCAACCAAATATAACCAAACAGATCCCACCCCAGAGTAGCCTGGAGGATGCCGATTTCACTCTAATTTCTTCTCCTCCCAACAGCCTTCTCACAGTTCTTGTTCAAATAAAAAAGAAAAATTTATTTCAGCCAAAGGTGGCTGCTGAGGTTTCATTTTTAAAACGATTTTAACCCACTGGGGCGGTTCACCCTGTAAAGCAGCATCGGCCACGAGCACCAAAGCTGTATTAATACCATGCAGACCTCCCCACATAAATGCCTGCCTCCTGTGCAGAGAGATGCCTTTCCCAAGAGGGTCATTTCAAGGTAACTCCTACCATTGCATTTCTCCTACTAGTACATGGATCGCTTCTTTCATATGCAGAAATTCGAACAGAATTAGCTCATGCACCTGTCTGCCCCTGTTCTTCCTTCCCAAACTTGTGAAAACACTTACCTGGAAGTATCCAGGAATGGTTTGTAGGCAATGCTGACCCATTCTTCTTTGTTGGAGGAGTATCTCGGCTCCCTGGATGTTTCAGTTGCGCTATCTAAATCCACCAGGTAATGGCATTTGGAAATGTCAATCTGTAGGGAGAAAGGACACCTTGTTCTTTATGTAGTGAGGAGCATTCTTTACTTCCTATCCTAAACTGTTGTGTAAACATTCTCATGCACTGTTGAATCACTCACATTTCACCCCAGAGCTGGCTGCATCTCAGTGGTGGGGTAAATGCTCTTTCAAACACAGTTATAAAACTTGGTGAAGTGTTTTGGATCTATTGAGATGAAAGGTTCTAGAAGAAATGTCAGATATTACTGCTGCTGCCGGGGGCTGCTTCTCTAGAGCAAAGAATATGTACCCTGTGTGAGCCTTTTCAAGGAGGATGACCTCCCTCAGCTCACTTATTATCATAACCCAGAGTGAAGCAATCATTCAGCAATGCAGCTCAAACAAGTGCACGAGCAATCAAAAATACAGCTCACATGAGTGCACGGGGAGAGAAGTGTTTTTCGGGAGGCCATAGAAACAATAAATTTGCGGGATCTGGCAATTGCACCAACAGTTCCTGCGCTGAAGAACTTAGATTGTAAGTTAGGACAACGAAGTCTTGATTCAACACCCACTGAAGCCAATGGAAAGCCTCACAATGGCTTCAATGGGCTTTGGATCAGTTTGCACGTGAGCACAACACCCACCACAGAGCCACACGTACGACAACTCCTCTTCCTCCAGAAAACATTGCATCCGCCGGCTCTCAAGAAACAAGATTCTCGCCCTCAAACTCACTCTCAACCAGCACACACACAAAAAACAAGCCAGAAGGGAACAAGGACTCTAACACAAAGCCAAGGTGTTAGGAAAGCCCAGCTGTCTCTGGGCACACACGGTGCTTGCCCTAGCTCAAGCGATGTGATTACCCAGAGTCTAAAACCCCACCTCAAACCCACGTCGCCTTTTCAGATTAGTTGTGCTGTCATAACTACACAAGGAAACACTAGGGGAAAGGTAACGAGAGAGTCAGAAACTATAGGAAGCAGCAGCTGTAGCCAAACTAAACATAGCCTGTTCTCAGGGGCTTACAGGAGAAGGATTCCATCAGAATGTATCTGAACAAAGCCCCTTCCTTAACTGCTCTGGGGGCTGTTAAACACCACACCTCACTGTTCACTGGAACCCCCTCCAAAGCCAGTGGAGCTGTGTAAATGTTGAAACAGGCAGGGACTGAACTCTGGACTGCGACTGCGAGGATCAGCCCTTTAGGCCTCTCCCCTCTGGCAAGCTCAGCCTGACTAGTGAGCCAGGGAACTGGAAATACTCCGTTGTGGGTGGCTGGGCGAGTGCTGCTGAACTGGCAAAGGTGAGTTACCTCAGAAATTACTGTGGGGAAGATGGGTCGTGATGAGGCAGGCCTGGCTGATTTCGAAGGAGGCAGAATGAGGCTTTTGGCAGCTCTGCTGTTTGCAGGAAGGCCCAGGGAAGTTGAAGTGGTCATGGAACGGTCAAGGGAGACAGAGCGTAGGGAGAAGAATCTAGTGACTAAGGCTCAGAGACTCCGGGGACCCAAGTTCATTTCCCAGCTCAGTTAAAGACTCCCCATGTGACCCCATGCAAGTCACTGCCTCTCTCTATGCCTCAGTTTCCCCTTTCTAAAACAGGGACAGCACCTCCCTACCTCACATGAGGATACAATCCACTCATGGCTGAGAGATGCTCGAATCCTACCGTGGCTGGCAGTTACAGGAGGCTAAGGTTCATCAGCAGGTAATTGCCCCTGCTGTTCTCGAGAAAGTAAGTCAGAGTCTGACCCCCACCTCTGGCAGATCAGGAGGATCTTTCACTGAGGCGGCTCTTCCAAAGCCATTTCTCAGTGATCGCACACTCCACCTCCCAGCTGTGACAGTCAGTGGGGGATGGTCACTGTGTCTCCTATGGTCCTCAAACAAGGTGAAACCCAACTGAGCAGCCGCTTTTCCCTGCTTCCCTACAAACAGGGCAAAAGCCTCAAATCTGTCTGTGCAAATGGGATGCTCCTCCTGCAGAAGGATGCGTGTCATGGGCTGGCATCACGACCCAACTCCTCACTGCTTACTGATTTAAACGTGTATTGCCCCCTTCCTCAATGTGTAAGAAACGGAATTCTAGAGTTCAAATGCTCACACAACAGTAAGCTATACTGCACAGTCAATATAAGTCACTAATCACAAAAATCACTACATTAATGTTTATAGTTTATATGTAGGATGCAATGTGTAGGATGTGCTTTGTAGCTTAGCTAGCATAGTGGGAGCAACCTCAACTCTAGGAATTTCCTAACTTTTGATTTTTCAACTTTAATATTTTTGCATTTTCTGGGCTAGATTTTGGGAGTTATTTGCTATTCAGCTCCACTCACTGTTCTAACTTGGCATCAGCTCTCAGATTCTTGGGATTTCCAGTCTTGTAAATTCTCATGATTTTACCGTGAGAGCTGCAGTATTTGGTACAATATTAAAGCCCCAGATGCCGGAGTCAGATGATTGTGAGAATCTCAGCCTTCACTTAAAAAAAAAAAAAAAGGTTTTCAGCCTCACAGTTGTGAAGAGAAGCTTGGAAATGACCTGAGTGTACTCTAAAGGCCCAATATACGTAAAGTAAATAAAAAGAATCCAATATTTACTATTTTTTTTAAAATCACATTTTTAAGATAATCTCATGATTCTGGGTGCCTGACTCATGGTTTTTTATGTTTCCACTTGCAGTGGCTCTTTACTAGCACAAAATGTCAGGCTGACATTTCCATTTCATGCTCTCTAGTCTGGCCTCCCATAAGTATGTATGTTGCAGTTATGATCATATTTGCAAGATATCTGGTTTTATGCACAGAGACAATGGCTGCCCAATCGATCTCACATGTACACAGTAATCCGTTAACCACTTCAAACAGCCAGACATTTGTGCTAATCCACTGGCACATTTGCCTGGAGTTTAAGTGGATTCACAGGAAATAATAAGTATCTCTGGCAAGATGCTTGCAGCCTGGCATAACTGTGCTACAACCTGATGGGGTTAATGCATTAATAATACCACCCTGCCTCGCTGCTGATCCTCACCACCATATTGCCTGGAGTGGACATCATACTGCACTTCCAGGATCATATGGACACAATATTGTTGCATTCATGCTTTTATCAGCAGTCAAAGATGCCAGCAGCTGCTTTGCCCTTACAGAAAAGTTTGGCAACACTCAGCTGAATTATGAAATTGTATACAAGGAAGCAACACAACAAAACTGAATTACATTTGTGACCTCCCGGTAAATGAACTGCAGGCAGTGTCCTCAGGGGGCCTAGGTTATATAAAGATCCCCTTCCTGCTGGGAAGACCACTCCCTGATACGGACAGGCTGTGCTGTTCATTACGCCGCTGTGTCTTTCCATGCTGCTATTCCCTCTTGTGGCATCTCCTACAGGCACACTCTAGAGGCTGCAGGCAGAGAAAGGTTGGCTAACACAAACATGAGCTGTCAGCTACGAAAGTTCTTTAGCACTATGACAAAATTTAATAAATAACCCTAACTCACGAGTTATGTTCTATAGGAGGTAGTTCAAAGATTAGTTACACTGTGTAGAAAACTAAACATAAAGGGACGGGAGAGCAGTCAAGCAGATAGCGCTAGGGACCAGTAATAGGAACCGATGGGTTCTATTTCCAACTCTGAGACGGAAGTTGATCTAGGCTAGAATTTTCAAAAAAGTGCCTAAGGGACCAAAAACTTACGTCACATTCTCAAATGTGACTTAGGAGCCTGAATGTCACTGAAAGGCAATGGGACTCGGGCTTGCAATTGCTCAAGTCACTTTGGAAAATGGAACTTAGGCCATTTTGAAAATTCTACTCCTAGTGTTTAATGCAGAGGACTGAAAATCAGGACTCCTGGCTTCTGTTCCTGGCTTTGTGACCTCTGGCATGTCATCCAACCTCCCTGTTTTCCCCTCTGTCAAATGGAGTTAGCAATACCCAACTATCTCTTGGAAGGGCTGTCAGACTTCATTATTTAAAAGTTATAAAGTGCTTTGAGATTCTTGATAAAAAATGCTCTAGACATAAAATCAGTAGTAGTATTCTGCAGTAGTTTGGCTGCTTTGATTGGGGAGAAGGCAGCAGGGAGCTTATATATTCAGATATAAACTATATTTAAATTGCCAGAGACTTCCTCAAGCTGAGTAGAATCAGAGGCAGAATGCTGTTCTGCTCAATAAAAAAAATTTACAGTGCATGGGACCATTCTCACTAGACAGCTGGACATTTCTACTGTGGTGAAGCATGAGGGGAAGGGGAAAGACAAGAAAAGTATTCAGGTAAAAATGTGAACTCTCTCACTATAACAGCACCAGCTCTGTTGTGATTTACTGCCATCATCCATGCACCTGATGGAATAAAAATATTAAAAGGCTGCTATGTCACTCCATCTAATCTGGGCAGGATTAGATCAGCACAGAACAATGAAATTGACGAGCAACTGAAAATGGCAGCTGATGCCTCCTGAATGCCTTGCTGGTGTCTGAGCCTGTGCGCAAAATCCCACCGCTAGATGAACAGGAGAATAAAGCAGTCTCTCTCGCTCTCTGCTCCCACCAATACAAATAAGGGCACCTACCACCGAAATGTAAAGAATGTACTATGGAGTACAAAGAGACTTCTCAGGGCATTTTGTGCTGGGTCAAAGTCCTACTGTGTTTATCTTTCTGTACAATTCGATAAAGACCTTTACAAAATACAGTATCCAAGCCACAACTGTTCTGATTTATTATCCAGTGCAGAAAGGTACCAGGCACCTCTTACTGGCAACTGAGGAAAAACATTGCCCAATTGGTGGCATAAGATCCAGCTCCCTGTTTATCTCCCAGCAGCTCTGCCTAGATTCTACACTGTAACCTCCTGTCCATCCCACAGCACATGGAGAGGACTCCATAGCAGGATTCCCTAAGCACAGATATCCATGGATGATGGCCCCCTGGGGATCCAGACATAGTGATCTGAGAGGGGCTTATTGCAGAAACCTGCCTGAGACACCAAGGTGGGGTGGGCTGGAAGGGAAAGATCAAGGAGTCAGTCAGCAGAAGGAGGCATTTCTCTGAAGGAGGATTCAGTCTATTTGAAAAAGTTGGAGAAGGAAAGGATGAGATGAAGAAGTACAACAGCCTGGAGGGGCTCAGCGAGATCAATGTTTAAAGGACATCCCTTGCTGAGCAGGGACCTTAATAGGAGTCAGGGGCAATAATCACAAAATTCTGGTGGATCTGGGTTTCAATCTCAGTTCCTGCCACCGTATAGAGGGAGGTCTGTAAGGGTGTCACTGGGTGACATCTCTTTAGTGACCATTTCTCTTCCAGTTAAAGGCAGCTGAACACAATCTGAACTATCACTGCTCAAGAATGAACCAAACTAAAGGAGTGCAAGAGTCTTGTCAGCTCAAGGAAACAGAAAAGACCAAATGACATAAGAATCATCAGCTGTTTCAGGAAAGGCGCAAATACCACCAGTCACTATGGGAGTTTGTCTTATTAAGGAGGTTAAGTGATGAATAGGGAAGTGTAAATAGATTTTTAATTAATCAAATCAAAGGCAAGATGAGCTAGGCTATGTTTTCAACAGCAGCTCCCCAGAAATTAACCTTCCTGAATAAACTTTGTTAGAAGCAGCAGAGAGCAGGAATGTGCTGCCTTGGAAGGCTGGGTTTCTTTTTCAGTTTTAGTCCCTGACCCTATCCCTTTCTGGCCTTTCTGCAGTGTGCTGAGTCACAAGTGTGTCTTGCAAACTTTCTTGAATGTTTTATTTCAGAGTAGCAGCCGTGTTAGTCTGTATTCGCAAAAAGAAAAGGAGTACCACAAGTACTCCTTTTCTTTTTTTGAATGTTTTAGAGTCACTTTTCTAGAGAAACACTGGGGTTTGCGGTAAATTTATGTTGAAAACAATTTAATTAAGAGGAGACCAGATGGCTCAGTGGCATCGCACTTGCACACCAACTGAAATTACACTGCAGGAAACTCAGCTAAGAAGAATATTGAATCAACTTCTTGCATTGTCAGAGGGAAGAATTCTAGGCCCATAGAGATTTTTGTTTGTTAGATGTTTTGTTTTTAAAGCTATACAGAGTCCCTTTGAGAGAAACAAACTGCCGCAAACCATCCGAAAATACCAAGCTCTAACACCCCCCTCTTTTCCTGGATGCTCCCTCAATAGGACTGAAGCTTCCAATGCAAAAGATTTCTCTGACACACAATATATTTCCCGAGTAGCTTTTACCTTACTCTTATAGATTAAGCTGAAGTGAAGTGTGAAATTCACCTGTGGGCAGAGAGACACCACAGGGCCTACGCACCCTATTCTGGGGGCTTAAATGGAACTTAAGTGGTGCATAGGCCTTAAACAGGCCCTTTCCACAGGGAAGAATTTCACTCTCAGTGAATAGAGCCAGGGGCAATTTTAAATGTACAACCACCCCCTCCTCCTTCCCCCCCCCCCATCTTTTTTAATCTGGTGCAGCTGCTCTGTAAAGTGATGCAAAAGAACTGGGTTTGACCACTTCCTGAGTGCAGCAGGAGACAAAGCATGCTAAACAGGTGGAAGACACGACCCTTTTGTAATAATGCTCCAACGGCACGGCCCTTGCTGGCTAATGGATGGAACAGAGCGGATGATGATCTAACCACACAGTGCAATACAGGAGCTTGCTTGCTCTACCATAGGCAGAGCTGAGTTAAAATGCATCCTGCAGAACCCAGAAAACCCTATCCAAAAAGCTCAAGTCAACAACTCGAACATGAGGCTAGCTTAGCCTTTGGGTCCTTGACCATTTTCAAAAGACGGCTAGGCACTGGGTGGGGAAAGTAAAAACAAAATATAAAGAAGTCTTCTCCAAGGTTAGGACCTTCAAACAAAAGTTCAGCTTTTAAGTCTGGTCTATGGTACCTGCCAACACCTCCCTGTAACAGATGGTACCGATCAGCGCCACCTTAACACAGTTTCATAGAGAAATGCATTTAGGATCCAACAGGACAACTTGCATGAGTAAGTGCTACTCAACTTTGTCTTGTCCGTAGCGTGGATAAGCGCTTCATGAGATATACGCTCTCTCCTATAATATATCAATAGGCTCATATCTCTTAGATTTACTTGCCATGCACAATTCTGGCTGCTCTTTCCAATGCTTGCTGACTGTCTGTCTTTGGAATCCGGGCATGCCACCGCTACTGGCAGCTCATTTAGTTCTAGAGACATCTCAGTTCTCCTGGTATTATTAGCAGCTCAGAATCAAAGGTTAGTTTTAAAATCCCACTTAAAATTTACATCAAGTAGCTAATTTCTGTATTTCTCAAAGTGGCTGCATTGAATAAACATATCCCAGTCCTTCTTCCTTGCATCAGAAATAACAAAATTGTAGGGTGACATGAAGAGACAACCATGAAACAAAAATGTGTTTTGTTTCATTAGTCACAGGCTGTGCACCAGCCAGCTGTCTGCGCTAAAAATATGCCAGAGTTAAAGATTTTGTAAATTAAATGCATTGCAGTAGACAGCTCCTCTCAGGTGGGAATCCGCCTCCTTCCCATTTCCAATAACCATGTAATAGATCTTAAAACAACAGAGCCTGAATCCTGCAGATTGATTCTCGCTTTGTTACCTGTACAATTTCCTCTAATATTGTCGTATCAGATTCAACCCTGCTCTGGAGATCAAATCTGCAGACTCTGTCATACTGCCACAGTGAGCCAAGATCCTCAGCTGGTGTAAATGAGCAGGTGTCATTGACTTCAACAGCAGTATGTGGTTTACATCCAGTCTGCTTATCTGAGTGCTTCCCACAGAGTCATGGACAGCACAGAGGGCACCCTTCAGAGTGCTGAGAATGGAGGAGGAAAGGCATCATCTGCTTCTTGGCAGTTCATCTCATTCACCCCTTTTGACAAGAGGAGGGATGGCTCCATGGTTAGAGCAGTCACCTGCAACCCAGGTTCAATGCTTGACACTGCCACAGACTTTGAACAAGTCATTTAGCCTCTCTGTGCCTCAGCTCCTTGTTTGTAAAATAAGGCAAGTGCCATTTCCCTATCTCGCAGGGGTGTTGTGAGGATAAATACATTAACAATCATGAGGTACTCATATACTTCGGTAATGAGGGACAGATAGGAGGGACAGATGGATGGGCCAACATTTCTAATGCAATACTCCAGGCATTCCCACTCATAATGGTTAGGTGAGACATAACTGTATTTATCTAGGCTCAGAATTATAGTGATCTCAGAAAAAAAGAATAAAAAACATATTTAGCTTGGTACTCCTTTCTAGACAACAGTTCAACCCAAAGGAGATAAAAAGGTCAGCTGAGCAGCCTCCCAACGGCACCAATATATATGATCACTACTGCCAGCTGCTTGCAAACACACAACCAACTAAAATCTCCAGCCTGAAGCAAAACATAACTGCAAACAAAACATGCAGATTATCGCTCAGATACTATGGAACCCTAAGACAGAGACAGCTAGTACCTTTATCTAGGTCACTTAAACACTCTAAGCTGTGCCTCTAAAGAAGCCTTGAGGGGAAAAAAAGGGGGAACAGGCTGGGTCCTCAGAAAATTGCTTCTGTACTTTGACTTAATCTGCTAAAGAATTCTACAACTGGTCAGGGGGCAAGTGGTATTTTTGGTTATGTAACATGAGACAACCTGGAAAAGGAACTAATAACCTACATCAGTATGGTGTATCTTAACAGATTCCTTTTGAAATCAGCGGTGCAAGGGTCCCAACTGTTTCAGGTGAAGCTCTGGACTAAACTCCTATTTCTTCTGTTTCTTCTCTTGGGCAATTTTATTTACTTAGTTTTAAAAGAAAGGTCCCAAAGTGCAAAGGAAAATGTCACCCACTCACTGCTCAGTGACAAATACAGAGATGATTTACAAGTAAAATACAGACATCTAAACAAACAGATTTTGTTTTGGGACACAGCCAAATGCCACTGCAAACAGTTTTGGGGTTTATACAGCCCCAGCACAATGGGTCCTGGCCCATGATGAGGATTCCTGGGCAACTACAGTACTACTAATAACGATGAAGAAAGAAAAAGACGACAAGTGGGTAGCCCTTACATATCTGGTTGGCTCTTCCCTGTTTTGGTCATTCATGTCTGCAGGAATAATCCGTGTGGCCACTGGTCCCTTGGCAAATGGTTTCGGTAACTGGCCCCTGAACTCTGATGGGATGAACTGGAGCTGCCAACTGCAGGAAACAGAGAGAGGGGAAAACCTGAAATGAAACTGTGGAAGCCACCAGAATTTTGTAACGAGAAAACAAAGCATAACTAGAGGCTTTCCAGTATAAAGAGTAAACAGTCCTGCTAGAAAAGCAGCAAGGGTTAGATGTATGCACAGAAGCAGCCCCCAACCCACCAAATTCAGTTGCACCTAGACAAGATGACCCCGTTCGCAAAAGGACTTAAGCACATGGGTAAGAACCACTGAGGTCAATGGGAAAACAAAGAGAATATACCCTCATTCTTGTAAATTTCACTTACAAGATGCACTCAGACTTAAGGAACAAGTGAACCATAGCTGAGCCATCAGTGGAAACAAGAGAAACCCCCATATATTACTGTAGCTCACAAAAGATACACAAGGCACAAAGGGGAACACAAGCCCACCCACATCCTATGTCCAGCCTTCTCTTCTCCATTAATCCTGGCAAGCTTCCTTAATGATAAAACCAGTTACCAGACATGGCGGGCATGAGCCAGAACAGTATGTCGGGGACATGCATTTTGATTGCGGTGACCACTCAAGGAGTCTGGAGGCTTACAGTCAGGGAGCTAAACTACATTCAGAAACAATGGACTGAAATTGGCATCAGGCCTTTTCCATCCACATTTAACTTTTGAACTTTGTTTAATATTTGCAAATCAAATAATGTTGGCCACATCTGCTAGACCAGAACCCAGGCCAGCCAGGAGCAAGGCACTTCAGCTGGTGAAAGGAACAGCTTTGTTCAGCTTGCTCCTAAATAAACACTCCAATGGTTTTAAGGAATGCAGGCTTCTGCAGCCACTTGTGCCCGAATAGCTTGTATTTCAGGCCTTCAAGAACTAATCCTAGTACTCATCTACTACAACTGCTTCACTGGGGAATCACCAACTGCTGTCTGCAAGCCCGGCAAAGCATTGGGACATTTGCCCATGAACACCATCTTTGTAAACAGACTGTACTATCTTGCAGTTCTACAGGTTGTGGGGAGGGAGGGAGGGCTGGGTTGTTGTTGCTGCGGTTTTTTAACCTTTCCACCTAAAATTAAGGGCCATTAGCTAAAATTGCTTGGAAAGAGTAGCTGGGATTTTTGGGACACAACCCCAAAGCAGTATACAGGGTTCTGGTGGCTAACACCCTATGCTGTTTTAAAGATATACCCCTAAGATGGATGCAGAAAGCCAACTGCCAGTGTCAGGAAATGAAATTAACTGGATCTTCCTGACCTCCTTTTAAGTAGCATATATAATCCTGCCCATTCCTTACTCAGAGACCCATCATAATAGGAAAAAATCCCCTCCTCCCATTACAGATGCCCAAAGATTTTTCCAAAGCAAAGGCCTTGCTTCTTAAGAGAGCAACAGCTGCCCATTGCTCATAAGCAACCCTACAATAACAAACCCGTGTGCTGGGGGCTGGAAGACCACTTTAAAAAAAACATAATTCAGCTTCAAACAGAATGGCTGTGAACTACAGTAAGTGAAAGTACATCATTTCAGAATGATGAAAACAGTCTTGACAAGACCCCTGTAAGAATCTCAATTGTTACCATCCATGCACATGGCTCAAAGAATTAATTAATTTAAAGTATTTTGAAAATCTGAAAAGCAAACAGGTTAGTCACTCTTTCCAAGATCGCTGGTACACGTGACACAAGTCTGAGGGCTTGGCATTATGGACAGCTTGTGAGATGAATTCTTGTCAAAACTATCCTACAAACTGCATCCTGAGAAGCATATTCTTAAAACTAATGATTTTATGCTATTTCCATGCCATCCTGAACTTGTGCATTAACTACATTTGATGCTTTGGATAACAAATTAAGATTGTACATGTACCCTGTGGCCTTGAAATGTTATTTCAGTATGATAATTGTTGCCGGTGGGTCTCCATAAAGTTTAAAGGAATGCAGTCTGCAGTCTAACCTGAGTTCCTATGTTTCTCGGGAACCTTGAACACAACAGGCGGGTCACCAACAGCCTTGCCCCTAAACGCAGCCAAGCAGACACGGACAAACAAACCAAGATAGAGAATTTGCACAGAAGGGACTTAGTAGCTAAAAGACCTGGGGAGAGGAGCCACCAGTTGGGTAGGGCTGATAAATCTGCCTGTCACGTAGCGTCACTCGGAAGGGCAGGCTTTGTTTCTGAAATTAATCGCCATGATATGCACATCTTGCTTTCACTTTGGCCCCAGTTCAGCAAGGGGCTTAACTTCAGGCACACAAGTTGACATCAGTGGCACGAGTTTCAAGCCGGGCAGCTGCTTATGTATCTTGCTGAATCGGGTCCTTTATGATGAGCAACTTACTTATCTGGCAGGAGAAAGCTGCTTGGAAATCGGTACCACTCCTTCCCCACACAGACATTAACCGGCCTCCCTTCTGGCACTGTGTGAATAGTTGGATCAGTGGCAATCCTATGAAATTCTGGATACAGGTCGAGAGGTCCATGGTACCCTAAAGAGGAGGAAGATTGGAAACAAAGAGTGAAAAGGCAGGTGGTATTCTCACAGCTTGACTTGTTTATATTTAAGCCTCCCATCAAAATACCATGAGCGTTTGGAGTACATGCCCAGCTACCTATCTCTGGTATCTAGAGAGCACCCATCCCAATGGCATCATGTGCCATTAAGACTAACGCCAACCCACCTGCGATATTACAGCAAGACCTGCTTCAACATCTACCACATTGTCCACAAAAAGCTGCCAAAATCATGAACATTCCTGCCCTTGTTATTTAATAACACGAGGATTTTATTTTAGGCCTTTCCCCATGCCACACGTTTCCACTGTTCAAGGAGTTTAACTTAGCTAAGAACATAAAAAGGGGAGATTCCACAAGGGCTTTGCTGAAGTAATAAAAGTTCATATCAATCACAAGCCAAGGTTTGCTACCCTTGGCTTAATGAACATAGAGTGATTGCTAGATGACTGTAACTGAAATATTGCATGTTCACCCAGAGCAAAGGATGGGCATGTAGTAAAATAAATAAATATAAAAATAACACTATAGATAAATATTCATACAAAACCTCAAGTGCTTTCAGGGCCTTCTTAATGGATAGCTTCATAAATAAATAAAATAATCTACACTTAAATGTAGTTAGGATCCAAATCCCATTTCAGTACCTTGCTATAACACGGCACTTTTATTACCACTCTCCTGTCACTACTGTATATTGGCTTCAATCCTGCAAATAAATATGCCCAGGCTTTACTTTATTTAGGTGAGAAGCTCCATTGAAGTTAATGGGACCACTCCTGGCCCCATGCCAGAGAGCACATTCACGCATACTTAACATTAAGCACATGCTTAAATCCATCTCCATTCAGGAAAGCATTTAATCACATACTTAAGTACAAGCTTTACATGCTGAAGTGCTCTCCTGAGTATGGCCCCACACGTGTAAGGATAAGTACATATGTAAGCACTGGTCTACACACAGATATGATACTGGTATAACTATGTTGGTTAGGGTGTGATTCTTTTTTACCCGTACAAGCCCCAGTGAGGGAACAGTTACACTGGAATAAAGGTGCCTAATACTGGTACATCTTATCCCCTGAGGTGGAGGGTTTTTGCACCTATTACCGTATTGTATGGTTAAAGTAGGACAACTTTTATGCGCAGAACAAGCCCTAAGTCTTTGCAGAATCAGGGTTTGTCTCTCAACGGGAAGTCCCCTCTGGACTGTCTTGAAACTGTCTGGGTTCAAGAACTGGACCATCCCAAAACACCAACCTTTGAATAAAGCCACAGAGCGCGAGAGCGACAAGAGCCCAAAGAGAAAAACTGTCCCCAGAGCCAGCCAGTTGGAGGAGACTGTGTAGTGCTCCAGGCGGTAACGCTGGAATGCGAAGTGGTAACATTTCTGAAGGGACAAAAAGATATTAAAGGCATTAAACCTATGATGCCGCTGAACAGAGATCCATCCCAGTACCCCTGAGGAGAGCACCACCTACAATGGGGAGATCAAGGGGTTCCAAACAGAATGCAAGATGTGGTGAAGTTAAAGGGACACTCTCAACTTGAATTCTTTGGAAACTAATTTTTTAGAAGCCCATTTTCTAAAAAATCCTCTGTAACAGACGCAGCTTCCACAGTCAGTGCATATGTCTGCGGCCTCAGTTTCCCCAACTTGGCTCCTCAAAAAAAAAAATGCGTAGAGGTTCACTTGGTTCAATCACATCCCCTTCTTGGGAATTTGGTTTATTTCAAGAACTGTTCAACTGAACTCATCACAAACACTTTTCAACCCTCTTTCCCAGGAGTTCTTCCTTACCGGGCATCACAGCCCTCTCCAAACCAGGCCTCCTGCCTGGCAATTCCCCAAAACCTGTCCCGGCTGAGATTTCTACGACTGCTCTCTGCAGGTGCCTCTCACCAGGCTTTCTCCTAGACCCGGGGTCTCTCCTTTCTCCATCTGGATGGGCTCCCTCTTTAAAGAAGTTCCATTTCCAGGTTGCTGTCACACAATACCTGGGCACCCGCCTGAACACCAAGCCATAGCCTGAAATAAGGTGCAGGGATGTGCGGGACCAGCGCATTTGCAGCAGTGTTTAAATACAGTCCTGCCTACTTTTTCTTTTCTTTTTTAATCCCTCTAAGGGCTTTTCTGCTCTTCTATAGATGACCTGACAGGTTTTTTGGGGCAGGCCCAAAAGAAACAGTGTGTAACACACTCAGGTTCTGCCCCTCCCCCACAGAAGGGATTATTCACTTCCTGTCCTAAAATGGTCTCTACTCCTCTTGCATCATTTGCTTTCGTCTCATAGCAGCCGTGGGATTGTTATTTCATGGTCAAGCTTGTATGGTTAGCAGGGAAGCAGTTTAAATTCTCAGATGGCTCCTACATACTGGAAGTAAATCAAGTGGTGTTAAAATATGTAGAACAGAGATACACACCAGAGTATCCGGCAGCCATGTTTGGCAGGTGTCCCAAACCACCGCATTCTCAGGGGCCTTCTTACTGCACATAGCCCTGGCTGAGAATTGCTAAAGAACTGCTAGTATTACATGGCTTGATCCTGGGAGCAGGCAGCTCAAGAATTGCACATTAGCAGAGCTTGCGTGTGGGAAAAATGGCAATAGCGGGGACTGCTGTAGGTCAGGATTGTGGGACATTGGCAGGGCTGGATAAGGGGCCAGGGACTGCAATAGCAAGGGATGCTACAGGTCGGGGTTACAGGGAATCGGCAGCGCTGGGTAAGAGGCCAGCACCGCAATAGCTGAAGGTGCTGGAGACATGGTTTCAAGGGTGTTGGCAGTAATGGGAGTGGGGCCTGGGACTGAAACAGCAAGAGGTATTGTATACCCAGGATAGGAGATAATGGCAGAGCCAAGGGGAGCAGCTGGAAGAGTCTACTATAAAGACGAGTGACTGCAAAAAATAACTAGGTAAATTCATGGAGGATAGGTCCATCAATGGCTATTAGCCAGGGTGGGCAGGGATGGTGTCCCTAGCCTCTGTCTGCCAGAAGCTGGGAATGGGCGATAGAGGATGGTTCACTTGATGATTACCTGTTCTGTTCATTCTCTCTGGGGCACCCGGCATTGGCCACTGTCAGAAGACAAGATACTGGGCTAGATGGACCTTTGGTCTGACCCAGTATGGCTGTTCTTATGTTCATTCATATGTATTTTTCATGGGTAAGAAATAAATAATTTCAGCTCTGTGAAAGCTTCTACTGATCTGGAACACTTTACTCTACAAAGTGTTTTAATCTACATTAAAAACACTTTTTTAGCTCTTTAAAAATAGCAGTTTCCTAATGCCTAAACAATACCACTTTCCTTTTAAATAAGGGAATGGTGAAAATCTTGGAGTTCAACAAGGACTTCTGAATAGCCCAGCCACAAAGGTCAAATTTCATGGCTTTATAATGCAATCACATTGGATGCTTGTCTGAGATTGCATCAAATAATGAATCTTTCAGAACATTTGGGCCAGTGACTATTCCAGATTGGGCCAAGGTTGTTCTCACACCATGTGAGAGAATTTCTAATGAAGGGCAGTTGAGCTGTTTCAGTGCTAAAGCAGAACACCCAAGAAATGTCATGCATATTAATATTTGGTGGTAACACTCAACATCCTTAGCCTACAGTTCAGGCTAATCCAAGATTTTTACATCATTAGCACATTCTATTCATATATTTATGCCATTTGGGGAGGGAAATCTCCCCAATTTTGCTGCTGCATCACTGCTTGATGGGGATCGAATGATTCTGCACAAGTTCTCCATCAACCAGAACTGGAGGATTATGTTTAGCAAACTACTTTGTAAAAGCAGCAAACACGTACACATTTTAACTTTAGAATGGTTGTGTTTTTTCAATCCCAGGGCCTTATGATCAATCTATGTGCCACATTCCGAAAACTCAAACCCCACTAGCTAACAATCAGATACAGCTGACTGCACATCATGCTCTTGGAGTTACACTATGTACACTGCAGAACTAGGCAGATTACTGCAGATTATGTTGCAGCAGCAGATGTTCCCAAGCCTTCGGGAGCAATGATATAGAAGTAAACAGGTAATTAAACCCCCTTTAGGTACCAGGTTATAACACACAGCACTTCCCACTGAAACCCACCTGTAGGGCAGAGAGCGCCACAGCTCCACAGAGACAGATAAGAGGATATATGGGAAACAGAAACCTCTCCTCTTTGTGGGGTTGACTGAAGAAAATCAGGATCCAGATGTACATAGGAGCCAGCGTAAGCCAATATGGGCGACCCAGATTCTGGACTGAAAGAAACATAAATCAGTCAATCAAGGCTCATGAGACTAGTAAAATAAAGACAAGGGCTTTCCCTTAATTTTCATTCTCTCTCTCTCTCTCAAATGGAACGTTTCACTATTCAATCCCAAGCAGCACTTCCACTCTCCATATCACAGCCAAAACAGCAAGAAATCAGTCAGGAGTGAAAGCTTGCTTAGTGGATTTCTGTAGGCTTCAGATGCCCTAAAGGTCCCAGAATGCAGGGAAACCAGAACCCAAAAGAAGGAGAAGCAGGATCTGGATAATGAGCCTATACCCAATCCCAGGAAGAAGAGACTAAATCCATCATGACCTGAAGCTTCTGAGCAGGAAATCAAAAATTCCTGCTGTTTGCTTCGTTGTACTATACTAGCGCATCCAGGGATTAGAGAGAGAGTCCAATGAAGCTTATATTCCTAATAACTGAAGTGGTTGTTTAGGTACTGGCATTTCCAAAACCCTTGTTGCTTCATTGCAAAAAACAATGCATGTAAGATCTCTCAAGTAACTTTTTTTTGTGTAAAGCAAAAAGAAATTCATTCAAAAACAACAACAATTACCCTGAATTTTAGTCTGTCTGACAAGGTTGCTCAATGCAACTTTAAATCCTGTCTCCCTACCCTTCTAAAAGCTGCAGTGTTAAACAAATAAGCATAGAGGCATTTCACAAACAATAAGAAGAAAGCACCCAGAAGAATGGTTCCTGCTGTTAGGTACACAAGTGTTAGGTGAGCAGCAGGAAACCTGCATTTATAGAATTTCCAACTGAGTTTTTACTGGTTTCTGACAGTATGTCAGCCACATTCAAGGAACAGACACAAGCAGCACCCTCTAGTGTACGCTTTCAGGAAGATACATTAAAATGCCGTTTCTTAACAGAATTCCATACATAATCACAGGTTTCAGAGTAGCAGCCCTGTTAGTCTGTATCCACAAAAAGAAAAGGAGTACTTGTGGCACCTTAGAGACTAACAAATTTATTTGAACATAAGCTCTACGATACAACCGCATTTGCTCCAACCCCTCAGACAGAGACAAACACCTACAAGATCTCTATCAAGCGTTCTTACTACTACAATACCCACCTGCTGAAGTGAAGAAACAGATTGACAGAGCCAGAAGAGTACCCAGAAGTCACCTACTACAGGACAGGCCCAACAAAGAAAATAACAGAACACCACTAGCCATCACCTTCAGCCCCCAATTAAAACCTCTCCAACGCATCATCAAGGATCTACAACCTATCCTGAAGGACGACCCATCACTCTCACAGATCTTGGGAGAAAGGCCAGTCCTTGCTTACAGACAGCCCCCCAATCTGAAGCAAATACTCACCAGCAACCACACACCACACAACAAAAACACTAACCCAGGAACCTATCCTTGCAACAAAGCCCATTGCCAAACGTGTCCACGTATCTATTCAGGGGACACCATCATAGGGCTTAATCACATCAGCCACACTATCAGAGGCTCGTTCACCTGCACATCTACCAATGTGATACATGCCATCATGTGCCAGCAATGCCCCTCTGCCATGTACATGGGTCAAACTGGACAGTCTCTACGTAAAAGAATAAATGGACACAAATCAGACGTCAAGAATTATAACATTCAAAAACCAGTCGGAGAACACTTCAATTTCTTTGGTCACTCGGTTACAGACCTAAAAGTTGCAATTCTTCAACAAAAAAAACTTCAAAAAGACTCCAACGAGAGACTGCTGAATTGGAATTAATTTGCAAACTGGATACAATTAACTTAGGCTTGAATAAAGACTGGGAGTGGATGTGTCATTTCACAAAGTAAATCTATTTCCCCATGTTTATTTCCCCGCCCCTACTGTTCCTCACACGTTCTTGTCAACTGCTGGAAATGGCCCACCTTGATTATCACTACAAAAGGTCCTCCCCTCCCCCTTGCTAGTAATAGCTCACCTTACCTTATCACTCTTGTTACAGTGTGTATGGTAACACCCATTGTTTCATGTTCTCTGTGTATATAAAATCTCCCCACTGTATTTTCCACTGCATGCATCCGATGAAGTGAGCTGTAGCTCACGAAAGCTTATGCTCAAAGAAACTTGTTAAGTCTCTAAGGTGCCACAAGTCCTCCTTTTCTTCATACATAATCAGAATCTTAACAGGAGATGCTGATCATGATGCTGCTATCTGCCCCTAAAATTCAGCATGTGTCCATCCTTGGGGAAAATGTGTTAGCAGCAGCCAGGGGAAGATGCAACCACTGGGTTTTTTCTTCTTCCACTCCCCCGCCACCCTGGTATTTTAGAAGAGCATCCTGCCAAACTGCATGAGTTAAACTGACATCCTTTGAATTAAGAGAAACCCAATATGAACTGGACAATGTTTTGCTTTTTCACAGTGTAATTTATGAAGGACTAAGTGATCCCTCTGAAAGTCAGACATCCGCCTAGACTATCATAATGGTCCCTTCTGGCCTGAACACCTATGAAGCTAAAATCTACCAAAATGGGATTTAATTCTATAATTTTGTAGCAGCAGCAGCACCACTGGACGTGCCATATTTTGGGCTACAATAAAACTGTATGTCCACTGCTACTATCCCTTAGAGCAGAGATATGTAATAGGACTGAGAATTTAAACCTCATTTGCTCCCTTATGAAGGTAAACATTCAATTATTTCAAGGAAAAAACTTAACTATCATTTCAAAGGCACAGCTGTGAATGGTACATTAAAGTACAAGAGACTTCCTAATTTAGGGAGAAGCCTTTCACAAATCTGCCCTACGTGGGCTCGATCCTGCAAGGTGCAGAATGCCTTCAACAATTCACTCAAGTGCTCACTACTCAACTTCTTGCAAGATCATGCTCTATATGGGCAGCATCAAGGGAAATGGGTGGCTCGTAGGGGTTAGAATGGTTTATGAAGAAATAACCTGAAAAATCCAAACTAGATCAAAAAAAACCCCCAACTCTGTTCTCTCAAAGCTCTCTTCTGAAATGTCTTGGCAGTCGCATTTAAAACAACAGTAGAAAAGTGTAGAGAACTGAGGGCTGACACTTCCAATCGAAGATAAGATGGAAATAACTACGAGTATTTTTTTTCCCCTAAATTTCTGTCAGGGTTATTTCTATAGCATTTGCATCTGTGGCTGAAGAGCGTGCGGCTGTACAATTTGTCATACTTACTCGGTGTACTTCAGCCTTGACAGCACAATGCTCTTCAGAGGAGAGGGAGGCACAGGGAATGAAAGGATCATCCTTAAAGAGAGTCACAATAGTGTTCCATCCCTGGCCAGATGCTACTGTGAGTTCAGGTGTAATTTGCTGCCTCTGTCCCCAGCCTGCACTCATTGTAGGGTAAACAGCACAGTGCAAATAATGAGCTCCTGGAACCAGGCTGTGTAAGGCGTTCCCTGACCCTGATTTTGCTTCCAAGAAAGAAAAGCTGCATATACAGCAAATAAGCTCTCTCCTATTTTCAAGGATCTGGGAGACATGGGCTGTTGGAGCTCAGCTCTCAAAGACTGCCGCACTCACCGTGAAATTTCTGTAGCAGACACTCCATGAGGGAGGTCAGCGGCAGGGCAAGCAGGGCCAAGGCAAAAGCCACATTGAAGTTCAGGAAACCATTAATAAAATAGAAGGACCAGGGCTCGGTACCTGTGGGGGAGGAGGGGAGAGAAACAAAAGGTAATTAGCATGAGTGCCTAAAAGGACTGCATGTTATGGCACCCCCATTCTCTCTCTGCCCAACCATGATTAGTGATCAGCAGCTTCAGACATTGATTCTCTCTATACCCCATGGAGCTGAAACCGAAGAACGGGGTGAGGAGCATCTTACAGTAGGAGAAGCAGTGTGGTCTAGGGAATGAGCATGAATCCAATTTGAGCAGCTCCTGGGTTCTCATCCTGGGTTTGCCACTGATTTACTGTGTGACTTTCTCAGTCACTTCCACCTTTCTTTCCACAGCTATAAAATGGGGATAACGATGCCAGGAGGATTAGTCAATCGTGATTTGAAGGTGCTAGAGTGCCAAGTATTACATCGCTATCTCCATACAAGTAACTTCATTGTTTTTGCCTTTGGGGATTAACCAAAAACATACACACAACATATTGTCTCTTCCTTTCCTCTTAATAACAGTTAATCCTCAATGTTATACCCACTGCCTGCTGTTCATGAATCCATGGGACATTCTAACTATCAGCCCCAAAAGAATGGGCACCTCTCAAAATGCAAAGGCACAGCACTGCTGCGACGACACAGGACAGCCATCATCCCACTCTGAAAACCTATGCGATGAGAAAGTGGCATCTAGAACTGACAATGTCAAGAGATTCTGCTTCTCCAGACCAGCACCCACTGCAGCAGAGAAGCTTCTCAAGCGAGAGGCAGCTACAGAAGCCCTGGATGTTAAGATACTGTTACTGTCTGGAGCGATGCTGTCTCACAGGCTGCCAGAGCTATAAAACTTCTTACAAACAAACAAGAGAAAAGAGCTTGCATTCACACTTTATCCACCCAGGACACCTGCTGTAAAATTCATCTACCTGCTAGTTACACACATCTTCAGTCTCTAAAGTTTCCCTGTGTCAATTTGTTTTTCTTACAGTTTAGCTTTAAGAATAGGACACAAACATTTGTTCAGTAAACAGTTCAACCCCTCCTACTGCCATGACACATGGTTGGTTGCAAGCTTGAAAGGATGCAAACTGACAAAAATTCCAGTCCGACTTCTCATTCGTTTGTACTCTTGATGCTTAAAATCCTGAACAGTGGGGAATGCCAGCTCCTCTCTGCACGTTTGCCACCTTCTTGGTATGATTAGCACAATCAATCAGTAAATGACATGCGGGGGCTTTAATCAATGCACTGTTGTGACATGTGTCACAGGCGGTGGCAATTTCCTGCAATCAGAGCCACTTAAAAAGGGTCTGTGTTGAAATTAATCAGACAACAGAAAAGCAGCAAGGAAAACCTGACACCTCTGCAGCTTGTACAACTTAATGTATTGTAGTGTTTTTTCTTTTTTAAATGAGAGAGATCATCAGAAATTCAACTTCAGTCCCCACCCACCCACATCACCACCTTCGAAGTCTCAGGTGAGTATAATTCTCAGCCTGCTGCCAAAGCCCAAACACGGGACACAGAATGTGACGAAGACCCAAAAGGATGAGTGCACAATAATTATCCATACAGCAAATTTGCAATCGCTGTGGGATTTGTTCCTCCAGTGTCAATAACCCTTTCCATGACCTCTGTTTTATGATTCTTTATTTCTGATGTCTATAATTTTGAATAACCCAAGTGAAAGGGACACCAAATGTGTGCAGAATGTAGGTAACTTTGAGACTATAATGAGTGCCCGCCTTGGAAATCCGGGACATTTGAGAGCTATGTACATAAGAGAAAAGCCTATAACATGGAGGGGAATTAAATGTAAACAATATTATTTGTATTACTGTAGCTCCTAGGAGCCCTAGTCATAAGACCAGGATCTCATTGTGCGAGGCGCTGTACAGAGACAGAACAAAAACACAATCCCTGCTCCAAAAAGCTTCCAATCTCAGTACAAGAACAAGACTTAAGCTGTGTTGTTTACGTCCTACTGCTCTGAACTGTGGATATAGCTGAAGCCTGTTAGTTAACATTCAGGTAACACATTGCAATGTGCCTCAGTTTCTCCACAGGTAAAATGGGGATAACAACTTACTTTCTTTGCAAAGCGCTTTGCGATCTACTGATGAAAACAGATATATGGGAGCTAGGTATTAATTATTAACTGAAATGATTACACCTTGTGAGAGGGAAACTTAAAGGGAAACTCTCAGATTTCAAAGGGGAACACCCAAATTTAGAAAACGTGGGAAGAAGAAACACTCGGTATACTCAGAGTGGTGAATGGACTCCCTGTGGGAGAACTCTCTATGTAAACAAGGGTTCGGTTTCTTTCCAGCCCAGCAGCTACTGGATTCTGTACTGCAGTCGCAATGCTGATGTGGAAGGAGTTGTGACATACCAAACTCAGGGCCAATTCAGTGTTGGATGGAGCATCAGGGGCATGGGCAAGCAAGGTGGAAGGAAATCTCCTCTCGAAACACACCTTTTCGCTGCAAGGGGGTTGTGTGCCTCTCCAGTGACCTGGCATATCAGTGGCCAACATTGCAGCAGTCTCCCCTCCTGGGATCTGTTTAATAACCCACTTTAGCACACCCACTATCTCCCAGGAAACCCAGTCCCCACCTGTCCATGCCTTCCCCTCTGGCTTAATTTATCCATCTGTACCAAAACCTATGAACTGTCTTTTAGGTGTCCACAGCCCACCTGCCAGGGCCAGGGCAATGTTATCCCTCATACTCAGAGTTCTTCCTCTAGGTCACAGGGGTTCAGGCAATTGTCAGCCTTTCACGGGCCATTGCCTGAAAAAAACCTAACAGCCGCCTGTAGCTATTTCCAATGGAGAGATGCCTTGTTCTACTCAGGTCTCTCCCCATACCTGGGGAGGACAGGACCTGCCTATTACATCCTGTTTTTCCCTTACCACAAGGCCTTGCTTTAGACCACAGTCACAGGATCTGGGGGAAAACCAGGGTCAGATGAGAGCTGGGACTAGACTCCTCTTAGAAAGGCACAGCCACCACATGACAGACTCCAATGACAACGCAGAAGACAAATGGCCTGGAGCAGTGCTTTGATGCAGAGGCCCTTTCCCAAAGTTTGCTGCAGCGTGACTGAACTGGCTCTTAAGGACTAAGAGCTGGAGCCTTTTCTCCTTGTCCAAAGGCACATTTACTGCTGTGGCTCAGAAGAAAAAAAGCCAAATCAGGCAGGAATAATGCGTCACATGGGCTAGTTAAGTGACCCGCTGATGCAAGGTTTTATGTAGAAAACACAAGCTTGAGGCATGGTCGCTGTGTTGACTCAAGCGTTCAGACACGTTCAGTCTCTCTGCCTCCCAGTGCAAAATGCCTTTATTTTTGTCATTCACAAAGTGACTTGAGACACGACAGCAATGAAAAGAACACCACACACAAGGAGAAATCCTGCCACTGTTGGAGTTCTTCGGGGATGGGGGAACTATCCTTCCACAGAGCAGTGGGAATAAGCTTCCCCAGCGTGACATTCGTAAGATAAAGGACTAAAAGGGATCTCCCAAGTCATTCAAGCAGAAACAGAAGAATAAACCATGCAAATCATATGGACTCATTGTGCCACGTCAAGTTTAACAGTGGTGGATTAAGGGAGAAAAGCAGCTGCAAGTGGTGGAAACAGAGCAGTGCAGTATTTACAGTAGGGACCACTGATGTAGCAGGCTGCATATAAGAACCCACAAGAGTGATTACTAAGCATTCCAGAGCCAGAAAACATTCAGCCTTGTGTTCTACTTCAGGGGCTGTTACAACCTTTAAACTCAATGAGCCAGATAAAATAGATTCTTCTTATTATTATTTATTTGTACTACCATAGCACAGAAGAGTCCTAGCCATGGATCACAATCCCATTGTGCTAAGTGCTATACAAACAGATGCAACTCCAGTGAATTCCCCAAATGCTTCCCAAGTGTAACCGCATTACAAGTCACAACCAACGCTCATCACATAAATGGGACGGGCTCAGCAGACGAATCCACTGGGCCACGGTAACAAAGGAATAACTCTCATTGTTCTCTTTATTGCTCGGCTACTAGTTCTAATGATTTTCTCCAACTGCTCATCTTTTTAGAGCCTCGAGAATACGGATCAGTGATATCTGCATATGAGCCACTGTCCCCACGGACACAGAAATCTGACAACTGACAGTGGACTATTCACTACAGTGAGTGCCTCCATCAGGGGGAAAATAATATCTAGAAAAGAGGGGAAAAAACGCTCTTCTTGCATGCAGGATCTCAGCTTGTAAGCAAGAAAGATATACCACCATGTCCAGATACCACTTTTATGGATATGGCATGAGAATCCAAGTAGAATGGTGATGTCAATGTTCCCTGTCATCTGTGCCCGCCCAGAGCGTAACAGCCTCTCCCTCAGGTACGATGCACTAAAGGGGTGTAGCCTGTGATCACACTATCTGGGAGGAAACCAGAGTCTGAGAGAACTGATCCTAGACCCCTCATAGGGTATGTCTACACTGCAATTCATGACCTGTGTCAGCTGACTCAGGCTCACGGGGCTCAGGTTGTGGGGGTATACAACTGCAGCATAGACACTAGGCTCAGGCTTGAGGCTAAGCTCTGGGACCCTGCAAGGGAGGAGATTCCCAGAACCCAGGCTCCAGCCCAAGCCCAAACGTCTACACTGTAATTTTACAGCCCAAGCCCTGTGAGCCCAAGTCAGCTGATTCAGGCCACCCATGGGTGTTTAATTCCAGTGTAGACATACCTTTAAAGGCCCAGCCACCTCATGACAGACTCCAGTGATATCAGTAAAGGGAACGCAGGGATTGATGGGCCAGGAACAGTGCTTTAATCCTGGCACTGAAGATGGTGCAACCTGGTGCTTCATCAGCTCCCAGATTTTTATCCCGTTTCCATGAAAGCTGGGACGGCATTCCAAAGCCAACAGAACCTGCCTGGCCTTTTCATCCCCCTGGGTGGTAAGACTTTTCCTTACAAACAAACAGTATACAGCTTTCTAAACATATAGCATTATGGCATATAGCCTCCTGCCCACACAGCATTCAGCAGACATTTCACTGAGGCTCTTTTATTAGTACGAAGATGTTATACGAATGTCACTGTGCACAAATACGTTAGAACCGATTGGTTCCCAGAGGACACCAGAAATAGCTCACACACCAGCATAGAAAGGTCAGGGATGAGCCCAGGCCAAACCAAACCCCATCAGAAAAGTGTCTGAAGTTTCCATTACATAGGAGTCACTGCAATACATTTCAGATCGCTACTGCAGAGAACAAGGTCCCTGGCAAGGGCAACACTTGCCTTGTTGTACCACTAGAGACCAATCGCTGTGCTGCCCCACCCAGAAATGCCCTTCTATCTGAGTGATACTCCTGAGACCCATCAGAAGTTGCCAGAGGCAAAGATGGCATTAGAAACTATTCACTGCCGCAGTCTGGCCTAAGCATTATCAGACGTGCAGCGGGCTCTGTCTGAGAAGGGCAACAAGGAGATCTTGCTGCTTCCTCAGACACCCCCCCAGTCTCCTGTAGTCAGGCTATTTAACTGCAGCCCCTGTAAGCAGCCTCTTTAATGATCCCTCATTTGAACTGATCTTAACTCCCCCACAAAAAGCTCTTCCTTCATTTCTAATAGCACAAGGTCAGCTGGGAGCCAGGAGCCCCCATATGAGGAACATAGGAATTGCCAGACTGGATCAAATCCCACCTTCATCTAGCCCAGTATCCTGTCTCTGACAGTGGTTAGCACCAGATGCTTCAGAGGAAGGTGTAAGAACCCCTCTGATAGGCAGGTGTGGGGTAATCTGCCCCAAGCCTCAAATAGGTCTCAAATAGAGATCGGCCTAAAACCTGAAGCAGAAAGTTTTATTACCCTTCCAAATTTTTTATCATTAATTTTGACAACTTGGGATGTTCTTGATGTCCAGTCCCTTTTTGAATTGTGCTAAGCTATAGGCCTCAAGAACCTCCTGGGTCAATCAGCTCCGCAGTCTAATTGCACCTCGTGTGAAAAAAATTTGCTTTGATCCATTTTGAATTTTTAACCCCTGAACGAAATTCTAGTCCCATCTCTGCCACTGACTTCCTTTGCGATCTTGGGCAAATCACTTTCCCTATTCTGTGCCTCAGCTTTCTGAGCTGGATTCTTATAGTACCAGCCTCAAAGGAAATAGGGGGGAATAGGTGTTATAAGCTCCATGAAGAGCTCTAAAGATAAAAAGAGATATATCGGGCTAAACATTATTATTGCTCCCCTTTCAGAGTCAATGTCTGCCACTTGTCAGGAGCAATTTTTCACCCCCATTCACATGTCTGAGAGAAACAAACAGAGATCAAGAGTAACTCATACAAAGTCAAAGCCCATCCTAACTCCAGCAAGACTGTCATAACAAACAGCAGCATGCAGAATTAATTAACCTTTATGTCTTTCTCCAGATTCCTGCAAATGCCCTTCTGGTAACCTCTCTTCTGTTGCATGCCAGCAAAGCTCAGGTCATGCACTGCCACAGAAGCGAGGAGATCCCCAAGACACAGTGTGGAACCAAAGAGTCTGTGAAGAACCTACGAGAAGTGAAAGGGCTCGGGGCTGTGCTCTCAGTTACATGCTGGGCTCCGCACCCTGTCTGGGTGAGACCGGAACAGCCACAAACAGGATTAAAGATGACAAACAGACTCACACAGCATGCTCTTGCTTTGGTTTAAGAGTGTAACCAATATTACTCAGACAGAGGATGAGTCACACAACCACTGTGGTACAACCACCCACTTTGAATAACGCTCATAAAACATGTGGAGGAAAACATAACTGTACCTTGGGGAGAACCTGAAATTTACAAAATTAGGCACACATGAAATACGATGTAGTCACATTGGATCTCAAACAGGTTTGCTGCTAAGAGTTCTCTGCTGTGAAGTGTAGGCTGCTGAGACATCCCGTGATGTGTTTGTGGTGCACCAGAACTTCAAAGCTAGAAACTCATCCAAAGCAACTTAGCTTAGCATTCAGCAAAACAAACAGAAAATATACAAATGTGGGTGAAAAAAAAAAGGAGTACTTGTGGCACCTTAGAGACTAACCAATTTATTTGAGCATGAGCTTTCGTGAGCTACAGCTCACTTCATCGGATGCATACCGTGGAAGCTGCAGAAGACATTATATACACACAGAGACCATGAAACAATACCTCCTCCCACCCCACTGTCCTGCTGGTAATAGCTTATCTAAAGTGATCATCAAGTTGGGCCATTTCCAGCACAAATCCAGGTTTTCTCACCCTCCGCCTCCCCCCCCCCAACTCACTCTTCTGCTGGTAATAGCCCATCCAAAGTGACAACTCTCTTCACAATGTGTATGATAATCAAGGTGGGCCATTTCCCACCTGGATTTGTGCAGGAAATGGCCCACCTTGATTATCATACACATTGTGAAGAGAGTTGTCACTTTGGATGGGCTTTTACCAGCAGAAGAGTGAGTTTGGGGGGGGCGGAGGGTGAGAAAACCTGGATTTGTGCTGGAAATGGCCCACCTGATGATCACTTTAGATAAGCTATTACCAGCAGGACAGTGGGGTGGGAGGAGGTATTGTTTCATATTCTCTGTGTATATATAAAGTCTGCTGCAGTTTCCACGGTATGCATCCGATGAAGTGAGCTGTAGCTCACAAAAGCTCATGCTCAAATAAATTGGTTAGTCTCTAAGGTGCCACAAGTACTCCTTTTCTTTTTGCGAATACAGACTAACACGGCTGTAACTCTGAAACAAATGTGGGTGGTATTCCTGACTCAAGAGAGACATCAAGTGGCAATAGACAGGAACTGCCTCACTGGTGAGCTCAAAAGCAAAAGCCGAAAGCATGTCTTTGCAGTCAGGCCAGATCACAAACGTGCAGGTTTGTCCCACAGAAATTCAAGGTGCCAGTTTTAAAACTTAACTACATCAAATGAGCCCTCACAGCACACCCCAATATTTTGTTATAATGCACTCACCATAAAGATCAGGTCCGTGAGGTGTGAAGACATTGTATAAAACAATGTTAAGAGGAGTGATTACCAGCTTCCCATAGTAATAGCTGTCAACAATCACAAGGGGAACCTGGAACAAAGCATTTAAAATTCATATAGCACTCGCAGCTTTGGCCAGAAATTCCAAATCAATGAGGTGCCGCCCAGTGTGCAGTGTCACTGCCAAATTTCCATATTTGTGCCAAGGAATAAACAGCCTCCCAGCCCCCATGCTGCACAAATGCTAGGTATACGATGCCTGGCTCTAACTGACAGGGCCCCTACAAGACAGGCACAGCTATTCGGTGCTGCAGCTTCTTCCAGGAGCATAAAGGGTTTAGAGTCTACACCATACTTCGTTCATCATGCAGCAATGAACTGGAGATGCTGAGAGCAAAAGAGGAGTTTGGTTCCTAGTCCCCTGCCCCGCTGAGACTGGACAGTGAACATCAAAGGCAAAGGCTTAGAGCAGCATCTCATTAACCACACCAGCCTTTAGGGCAGAGCATTCAGCAGCAGCAGCCAGCATTGGCATGTGCTGTTTTGGGCAGTGGGATACGTGTTTTTTCCATCCCTCTGGGAATCAGGTAACAAGTACCATACCTGGCAGGATGCCCCTGCTCTGCACCCTCTGTACAGGTACTAGAGACTGATTTTCAAGTTCTGATTAAGATGGATTCAGCTAGAGTCTGGAGGAAGAACAAGCAGAGACTACAAGCCCTCTGGGAGCAGCAAAGGGAGGTCAGTCCTCTGCAGGAGAGGCAGAGCAAGGGGATCATTGCATGGAAGCTACACAACTTCTCTGCCTTTGAAATCACCTGTAAGAATGAGGGGAGTGAGCCAGGAACAGAGATATTCTTAGGAGCAGAGGGTGAGGATATTGAGCTCAGGGAGATTCTTGTTAATAAGAACCTCAGCAGACACTGGGCAAGTCCTCTGAAAGGGCTCTCCCTGCAAACGAGCCCTGGCTCTGTTACAACCCCAGCCCAGCTCCTCCGTTGTGCTTTATTACAGCAACTTACCAAAAACAGGATCAGGGCCACCAGACACCAGTTCAGGAAGCTCTTCCACCTCCGCTTTATTATCAGCAAGTCAATGGCAATAGGTATCCTGGAAAAGACAACATCTGTGTCAGGGACCCTCTTCAATCTAGTAATCACCTGCCTGCCTCACCTTGAGAATCCTTGTCCCTTCCTCCCCCCAGGCCCAGGAAGACAGTTAATGGGGGTGGGGGGCAGGGGAGAATTCTCTCCCCTCAGTCTCAAGCCAGGAACCAACTTCCTGCCAGTCCTTCATCAAACTGTTCCTTTTTCCAAGGGGAATAATTCAGCAAATCTAACAAAACATCTTTGAGAGGACTGTTGGCAGCAGGGATCAAACCTGACACCTCTGGATATTAAAGCACAATCCTTGATTACCTAAGCTAAAAACCCCGGCTGTGTTAGCCCAGTCCGTGGCAAGCACATTAACCTCTGTATGTGGCCCAGTCACCAACCCAGCACTACACTGAGAGCATGTGGGTTATACAAATACCACCTAGACTCTGGGTAACGTGTACCACATGGAGGCAGGGTTTTCCTAATGATGCCACAGCCTCCCAGCCAGAGAGCTGAGCACTCAGCCTTGAAAAGCACAGAACCTCAGTCGGGCCTCTGAGTTTTCCTCTCCTTACCCAAGAGCTGCACTGAAGGGCCAACCCACAATGGCTCCAGCTGCCACGCCCAACACGGCTATAGAGGTCTTATCCATATACCAGCCAGTCATAGCAACCACTGTGGTGTACATACAGAAACTGCTGGGGAGGAAGGCTACAAAGCAAAGAAAGAAAGAGGTCAGCTAAACTTTCACATAGGTAAAATACTGCATAGGGTCAACCTAAGGCTCTGTAACAGGCAGAGTACAGTCTGCTATAAACACTGGGAATGAAATCCTGGCCACACTGAAGCCAATGGCAAAATTCCCACTGATTTCAACAGAGCCAGATTTCACAACGGAAGTCCTCCAGTTAAGAGCCTCTATTCTGCCAAGATTAAGCCCAGAAATATTTCCTCCAAGTACTACAGTCCCTTTGCTCATAACCTTCCATGTTCCACAGTGGCAGTCCAGCCAGAAGGCCAGCATTTGCAGATGTATAATTACCCATAACACTTGCTCTATCATCTGTGTCCTCACAGGGCAAACGGAGATTGGGGTGGACTGGGCATAGTCCTCGAGAAAGCAAGTGGGATTATGGGGAAATAAACAGGGAACGAACGAGAACTACATGAATAGTGATGGAAAGGGCCTTCTAGAGTCACTGTAAACAAAGGCAGTGCAGAATAGGAGATCTCAGACATCATCTGGCTGTCACACCTCCCCTCCTTCTGAGGCCACGTCAGCACAAGTGCAAGAAACCATTGCTTGAAATGACTTCCAGTTGCCACCTTTGCACAAAGTGTCCCTTCACATGCACACAATACCCACCCTAGGTGTTTTACAAACCTGGGTTGCAGTGGTTGGCTTGGCAGAGACCATTCAAATGGTGGGGGTACATTAAGGCACATGAAAATGCCAGCCTAATGCAAGATGACACCTTTTCTCCCCCTGGTCAAAACTGGGCCACTGGCCCATGCAGAAATGTCAAAAACACTTACGGAAAATAGTCCCAGAATGACTAAGACCCAGTCTGAGAGAAAAGGGGTTTGAAAGGCATGGCTCACTACACTGAGACTGGGGTCTGCAGCAGAAACAAATACAGCCAGGGAGGAAGATAAAGGAAAGAAGCGAGCGGTACACATCTGGGACAACAGCTGGGACAACAGATTTTTTATTAGAAACGTCTGCAGCAGGAGAGCAAGGGATTATCCATGTCAAGCACTGGGCATTGAGTTCTTATGGGAACATTTTAAGGTAACGCTTTAAAAACCCTGCAGTTGAGCTTTTCCCCTCCTGACCCACCCGTGCACTCCTGAGAGTGGGTCACCCCTGCACTGGCTGCTGAGCAAGCTTACCTGCAGCTGAGCAAAACATCCCAGCGCCGAGAACTAAGAAGGCCAGCATCAGCCGGCTCACATGCAGCCCAAATTTCTTACACACGGCCCTAGGGAAGCAGAGAGAAAATCAGACATAGCGCCATGGAAACATCTCCTGCGTACAAAAGAAAAAACACTGCACAAATCAATAGCTACTGCATGCAGAGCTAAAAGCAGCTCTTGCGGCTCTTGGCAACCACGTGCTGGAGAGCTCTCGCTCCTCAGCCCCTAGAGACAAATGGACGGAGGGAGAATGGATACTCTGAACCCATCTACACTTGGATTTCAGCCCCCTGCATAGCTACGCCAGTGCAAACCCCTACTGTAGGGACGGTTTGCACCAGAGTAAGTTGCACTGGTGTGAATCATCGGAAGATAGGAATTGCCAGACTTGGTCAGACCTGTGGCCCATTCAGTTCAGTATTCTGTCTCCAGGTGTGCTTCACCAGCGTACGTAGTCTCTGCACTAAGGATTTGCACTGGTGCAGCTACACCAGGAACTGCTACTCCAGAGCACACCAGGCCTCCGTTTTACCAGTCACAGTAGCACCATACTGTTAGGATATAGATATTCAGGCCTGTCTGTAAAGGCCTAGACTCTAAGAATTTAGGTGTATTCTTATCACTTGGCTAGTTAGAGGTATAAAAGAAAGAATCAAAATCACTGTCTGCCAATGTAAGGTCCTTCTCTTACTGTGACAGTCTGAGGCCCTGTGCTTAGGCTAAACCCTTTGGCTAAGCAACAGAGGCAGCCATAAGCTGGGAAGTGACCGGTCACCTCCTCACATTCCAAACTTGTCACATTGAAATAAGGTGCTATTGGGCTGTTAGGAATACAATCCTGTTCTGATAATGCCTATCACCTCCAGAGAAAGGGAAGTGCCTAGAAGATGTAAAAGGAAACTTAATTTGATAGCATCCTGTCTGGCAAGAACTCACTTATCAATAGCTGGGATGTGAAATCCTCACTTCTGTATTGTTTTGTCATTATGGTTTCACTTTGCTATTGTTTGTCTGTATAATCTTTGTCTGGTTCTGTGATTGTTCCTGTCCGCTGCATAATTAATTTTGCTGGGTGTAAACTAATTAAGGTGGTGGGATATAATTGGTTATATAATCATGTTACAATAGGTTAGGATTGGTTAGTTAGATTTCAGGAAAATGATTGGTTAAGGTATAGCTAAGCAGAACTCAAGTTTTACTATATAGTCTGCAGTCAATCAGGGAGTGGGAGTGGGTAGGGTGGTGGAAACAGGGAATGGAATCATGTTTGGCTAAGGGCAGAAATGGGAACAGAGACACAGGTGTAAGGCTCTGTGGTGTCAGAGCTGGGAAGGGGGATACTAAAGAAGGAAACTGGAATCATGCTTGCTGGAAGTTCACCCCAATAAACATCGAATTGTTTGCACCTTTGGACTTCAGGTATTGTTGCTCTCTGTTCATGTGAGAAGGACCAAGGAAGTAAGTGGGTGAAGGAATAAGCCCCCTAACATCTTGGTGCCGGTGACTCACTCTGATGCATCGCATCGGATAGGTGAGCGGCAGCCTGTAAGTCCCCCTCCCCAACAGTCCGCACAGCTGCTTGGAGGGGGTATAGCGAACTCTCGTAATGGTAGTTGCGGGTTCTGGCAAGCCAGGGTAAAGGATTTTTTGGATAAATGGATAAGGATGAACCAGGGCCCATACCAGGTGCAGGGGTCACCCTGGGATGAGATTAAAAAGGAAATGGAGGAAGTGTTAGGGGACCCAGAGGGATGGAGGGTGGCTGAGGAGCCCACCCTCCTTGGTATATGGGTAGTGGAAGAAGGTCCCTGCCCATGGGGACTGAATGCCTTCCAGGAAAAGGAGGCACTTCAGTCCCCTTGTGAGAGGTCTGAAGTAAGGGAAGCATTATGGGAAGCTGCCAGGAATCTTTCAAGTTTGGTGCTGCTTCAGCAAGGGCTGCTGAAGGGTTGTAAATTAGTTAGCAGTAGCGAAAGATGATTTGGCGCAACAGGATTTGAAGTCAAAAGCAGAGTTAACAGACCACCTTTAGAGACTGGGGCTGGGACTTGGTCCTGGGGGAGTGGAGAGGAAGAAGGGGAAGAAAAAAAAAGTTTCAAAGTGCAACCTGCTTTTTCACACTCTTGTTTTTCTGAAGTTTTAATGGAGGGTACTTTGAATACTTATGTGAGATGTCAAGAAGGAAGTTTTTGTTTAATAATAAAACCCAGTTATATAAATATAACTGTATGTGCAACTCTGCGCAGTCACATTGGATGGAAGCTTGGTAATTAAATTATCCCAGGGGGTCAGGTAGTGTGGCTACTACCACCACTATGCTTCTGTCCCCAGCTTTACAGTTATTCTGAGGGAAAATGGGCCCTTTTCCCACAGAAATGGTCTATAAGGGACTGCTACAGGCAGCAGGAGGAGAGAGAATCTGAGCAAAATTATTTGACTATTGGGTAATGTAATCAAAATCACTAAAGGATGTAAGGGGTTTCTATTGGAACTTAACTTGGCTGCCTCTGGTTGGGTCTAGCTGTACAAGATGGAAGTGTAATCGGGGTACAGTTGTGTAAAAAAGAGTAATCACAGTGAAAGAAATGTTAGGCAAAAGAGAATTTTTGTGTGCGCGCACAGGTAAAAGAAAAGGAAAAGGGGAGGAATGATGGGAACACTAAGCCTTGGGGTGACTCTGGGGGGGATCAGATTGTTGCTTTAGTGGGTGTGCATGAAAACTCTGTGGACATGGGAGGCAGTTACACCTTGTGTAAAATTAATAGGGCTAATATAATGTTATGGAGATTAAACTATATGGAAGGAATGTGCATTTTCCCAGGACATGTGGAGTGTCTATTGGAGAAGGGGTAAAAGAAATGCAAACAAAACATGGTACTTAATTAAAATCCTGTTAGGGCTCCAAAAGGGGCCACAATAGGTTGTGCTTTCTTTTTCAGATCTCTGTGTGATTTGAAGCAGGAGATGAAAGTGGAAAGTAATCAGAACTCTGGTGGAAGTAAAATGTTTCCCTTTTAAGACAGTGTCTGAGCTGCTAACAGCTTTGGATCCAGAAGCAAGCTAGTAAGCCTCTGTGTAAATGCAAATTACCTAGCTGATGGGCACAAAGGAGCTGCAAATAATTAATACATCTGGTCAGCAAACAAGCTACCAAAAGACTCAGATTATGGCCCTCCAGGAAAGGGAGGTGAAAAAACATGTCAAGCCTGAAAATAAGGGGGACAGGTTAACCTTAAGGGGGGGGAGTGGGGGTGTGCAGTGCTAAAATCTGAAGCTGTCTCTCAGCTATTACCTGAGAATAAACTTAATGCTTGGTACAGCAGAGAAACTATTGCAAACATGGTCTGTTGCACAAGAGGGGAAACTGAGGTACACCACTTCATGAATTTCATAAATGACCAGTGAGTGGGGTAATTCACTAGCCTGACTATAGAACAACATAAGGAGAGCCTGGAGGTAATTCTTCTGGTTTTCCTGCAATTAGCAAGGAAATTTGTAAGAGAAAGAGGTGGTATTATTATGAAGCAAGAATCTGTCCCCACCAGGGGGGTGGAAATTGTTTCTTTTGTTTTTCAGACACTCTACAAGCAAGCTGGCACCAGCAGGAAAAATAACGCAGAATACTATGGATCTGTGTTTTGTGTTTGTCTGTGGTGTTTGTCTTGTTGCTAGCATTGTTGTGTTTTAATGAACAGAAAACCTCATGACATGGGTGGGAGATGGCTTCAAAAGGCTGACCTTGGGGGGGAGGAGAGATGTGTGTGGGAATCCAAATGCTCAACTAGGAGGCCAGCACCTGTCTAATAGCTACCATGGTACCTGGAAATGGAATGGCAACTAAGGAGGTCCCCACAAGCCCTATGGAAATAATGAGAAGGGGAGGAGCTCACTGGGAATCAATGGAGGAGTGTGTAAAATAGTATAAATCAAAGGAAGATGTTTGGATGTGCCCCTCTCCTGTGACTATGGAGGAGCAGGATCAATGGCCTACGCAAGGGGTGGACAATTGAGTGTACTGTGTATAAGGTGTTTTGCTGGGAATGTACATATGACTGGGGGCACAATTACACCAGCCCATAACCAAACTACACACATCTACATGCTGCTATCTGGACTTTGGTGCACAAATGGATCTGTGAATCTTATTGCTGTGAATAATCAAACCAGGGCATACTGCCTGATTCCATACCAAGTGGTCAAGCTGGTTTGGACAATATCCCATTTCTCTGTGAATATTCAGTGGACTTATGATATGGACAAAAGCAAGCAAAACCTGCAGGGGCAGCTTGTTGCAACTGCCAGCAACTGGACACATCAGATCGTGACCCTGTCAAAGGAGGAGAGGCAGTGTTTTGGGCGTGTCTCGGACGTTGGACCATACTGCAGTGGTCAGGACTCGGTGTTGCTATGGATTTTGTATTGTTAACTGTACTTGTGTTACGTTGCATATGGAGATAACCTATAAGCAATAAGCCCTCCAAACCCTGCAGTGTACTAGACAACCCAGACCCAACCTTCTCGGGCCCACTCTAATGGGAAGTCTGGAACATTAATTGGAATAGGTATGGTATGTCCATACGAGAGACTGTGCAGGGCACTATACTACACAAGGGGCAGTGGGATAAATGGAATATCGACACCTTCCACCTTGATGCCTGGCCCTATCAGGAAATGTGTCGCCATATGTCCTATGCTTTTCCAGGGATACCTGGGCAGGAGGATCCCAAAAGAAAAAAAAGGGGTGGAGTGTTAGGATATAGATATTCAGGTCTGTCTGTAAAGGCCTAGACTCTAAGAATTTAGGTGTATTCTTATCACTTGGCTAGTTAGAGGTATAAAAGAAAGAATCAAAATCACTGTCTGCCAATGTAAGGTCCTTCTCTTACTGTGACAGTCTGAGGCCCTGTGCTTAGGCTAAACCCTTTGGCTAAGCAACAGAGGCAGCCATAAGCTGGGAAGTGACCGGTCACCTCCTCACATTCCAAACTTGTCACATTGAAATAAGGTGCTATTGGGCTGTTAGGAATACAATCCTGTTCTGATAATGCCTATCACCTCCAGAGAAAGGGAAGTGCCTAGAAGATGTAAAAGGAAACTTAATTTGATAGCATCCTGTCTGGCAAAAACTCACTTATCAATAGCTGGGATGTGAAATCCTCACTTCTGTATTGTTTTGTCATCATAGTTTCCACTTTGCTATTGTTTGTCTGTATAATCTTTGTCTGGTTCAGTGATCGTTCCTGTCTGCTGAAGTAAGTAGGTGAAGGAATAAGCCCCCTAACACATACCAAAGGCTGAAGTTTGCTTCCCAGAATCAGGAGCAGTGCCATGCTCATGGCTGCTGCCAATGGAGATGCCAAGTGGGACAACGATGGCTCGAAAAGAAGTGACAGGCAAAGACTTCCCACTTGGACCAGCTAATTGCATGTCCAGGCTAGTGCTTTATGGATCTGCAAACTCCACTGGAGTTAACCCTCATCTGGGATCAACAGAGCCTGGAGAGAGAGAACTTGGGGGTGCTACTGAATTTTGAAGCTATCCAGCGCATCCCAGCTGAAATCACCTACGTCAAATGAAGTCCGCTGTTTCCCCTCTTCGACACACCAAGTATAACTCAGCTCTGGCAATTCTGCTGATGTCAGTGGGAGAGCTGTGCACATAACTCTGGCATTTGGCTCAGGCTAAGACTTACTCAGTGGACCTCAGAGCAGAATTTGGCCACAGTGGCAGGATTCTAACCAATGTTTTCCTAGGAATCTTTGCTGGCTATGTATTTTGACAGATTTTAATGTGAAGCACTATAATCCACATGAGATATCTTTTCAGCCCTCATTGTCAGTGGCCATAACCATCCTTGTTATTCACACTGGGCTATTCCCTGAGCCAACAGCTTCGTCTACTCACTTATAAAAGTAAAGCTCACAAATGCAACTCAAGAAGGCCAAGAGACATCGCAGGAAATAAAAGACGAGAACCTAGGAGAAACATTCAGAGTTAGAAATGGAATTTATAAATGGAATGTGATGGTATGTGAAAGGCTGGTATGTGAAAGGCTAATTCAAGATGGAATAACTACTGCCATGGTGAGAACCCCACAAAAGCTACTTTTTAAATGATGGCGCCAAAGTCCACTCAATGCGCTGCCTGATCCCGCACCCACTGAGCTCAATGGCAAAGTTCCCACTGACTTGAAAGGCCCAGGATCTGGCCCTTTGACACTAAGTCCTTTATGGCAAACAGGTGAAAAAGAAATGACTCCACTGAACTGGACCCTGAGTTAGCCTGCCCTCTCCTCTTTTAAGTCTTGAGAACCAAAGCTTTAACTGCAACATTACAAAGAGAAATTATCCCAAATATCCACCCAAATATCCATCCAGCTATCACGCACACACACAAGAGCATCTCGGTATTAAGGGGTGGAGCTATCCCTTGTGTGGCAGATAGGTACCCAAGCAACAACACATTTGTTTAAATGCTTTTTCACTCTCTCATGTCTGCAGGTTATAATATGTTGTGTGAGAAGTGGAGCATGCTGATTTTTATATTTTGATTTTAAAAATTAAACCACTAAAAAAAGATTTAAAAACCATTGCAAAAGCACTACTGGATGAAACCTCCAGAGAGCATACAAATGAAATCAGCTCCATATCTTCCAGGAAGCTTAACAGCAGATTTGAGACTAAACCCCTTAAACCAGTGGTTCTCAAACTTTTGTACTGGTGACCCCTTTCACATAGCAAGCCTCTGAGTGAGACCCCCCCCTTATAAATTAAAAACACTTTTTTATATATTTAACACTTTTATAAATGCTGGAGGCAAAGTGGGATTTGGGGTGGAGGCTGCCAGCTCATGACCCCCCCCCCCCCATGTAATAACCTCGCGACCTCTTCAGGGGTCCTGACCCCCTGTTTGAAAACCCCTGCTTTAGACTGCTTTGAAAAGCTCAGTCATTATGTTTCATGTTCTCTGTGTGTGTATATATATATCTTCCTACTGTATTTTCCATTGCATGCATCTGATGAAGTGGGCTTTAGCCCAGAAAAGCTTATGCTCAAATAACTTTGATAGTCTCTAAGGTACCACAAGTACTCCTAGTTCTTGCTGCTGATACAGACTAACACGGCTACCACTCTGAAACCACACTAATTAAGAATTTCAGTGCCCCTTGTGTCAAACAGTTGCTTTCTTTGATACAGACCAAAGGGCAGGTGATTTCTCACAAGCAAAGCTTTGACACATGATTTACCTTATTTGTCTGTAGAACTCTAGCATGGAATAAGGCTGGCAAGGCATGAAGCCATAGGTAAGCATAGGAGCGAATGGCATAGACTGGAGAGTATTCCCACGTCTGGAACCCTTTCCCATAGACGAGGTAGTGCATCTACAAATCCAATTTAAAAAAAAAACAGGTTAAAAGGAGGACACATGTTTTCTTTAGCCATTAGCAAACAATAGCGTAAGATAACTGATATGTTGAGGGCACAGATCAGCATGAGGCAGCTCTAGGCAAATGTGTATCAAGAATCTGAGCAGACCAATTACAAAAGCCAAAATTCCTCTACTAGGAAGGAGAAGCCACTCACCGGTTCCCAGTAGTTAAACGTCTCATCACAATCTGAGATGTTACTCAAGAGGGCAGCGCAGAACCGGGCTGAGATCAGACACTTGAAAGCTGTGGATCCTTCAGGTGCCCAGACCTGCCCTGCTTTGTTCCCAGATGGCCTAATCAAGAGCAAAGAACTAGTGTCAGGAGGACTTACTGGAGTGGATGATATAAGGTAATAGGATAAAGAGCAGCAAGATGACACAGAGCAAAGAACCCAAGAGACTGGGAAATCCACACAGAAAGAGTTAAGACAATGAATATGTCTGTACTCCCTCTTCATTATCCTTAAAACACACTCCAAGTCAATCTTAGGCTACAGCTCTTTGCATTCTCCTTTCAGATCCTTCTGCTCAGGGCATGCTAGGCAACCTTTTCATTACATTTAAATTCAAGTTGGTTTATCCATTTACACATCTAATAAATGTCACTTCTTAGACAGTTACTTGGCTCAACTGACCCTCACCCAACCTATGACCCTTTAGAGACATTTTCCTCACTCTATTTTACGTACTTATGTGGCCCCACCACTGTTGTAGCTGAACTCACAATCTTGAATACATTTACCCTCACAACAAGCAGGAGAGTGTTCTTACCACCGTTTTACAGATGTGGAGGTGAGGCACAGAGGAACTAAGCGACTTGCCCAAGGCAGTCTGTGGAAGAGCAGGGCCTTGTACCCAGGTCTCCAGAGTCCCAGGCTAGTGCCCTAATCACTGGACCATCCTTCCACCCCTTGAATCCCCATCCCAGCGCTTACCAGACCTAGCCCTGCTTAGGCTGTGAGATTGGATGGCACCCTGGCACCAAGTGCTACAGCTACCTTTCTAACTACACTGAGGAAATGTACATGGCCCCAGGCTCCACTCTGGTTTTTTTTTCATTCCTACTGTTATGCCTTACTACAGATCAAACCTAGTTCTGATATCAGTGAATCCATTCTATAGGGGTCCTTGTACTGCACCCACCATTGTGGCATCTCAGCACCTCTATGTCAAGCATATTCCAAACGAATGCATGCCAGATCAACTTCTACCCATTGGGTCCCTCTGCTCTAAGAGGCGGCTCGAGCTAGACTCTGGTGAAACCATCCTGCAATGTTCAACAAGTCTAGCTAAATGCCAGGCTCTGCTTGCAGAAACTGAGCCCTGGCGCATTCACGGAGCCAAACCCTTGCTAATGCCTAATAGTCCCAAGCTACACAGGGCCACCCCCACAAGGCTTGGAGACTGTCAGGCCCCTTCACAGGGAGACATGGTGGATGTAGTAATATTTGGTCCAACAGACTGTACCTCACCCACCTGGTCTCTCGTATATCCTGGGACCAGCATGGCTACACCACCATTGCATGGGTCCCTTCATGATTTCTTTATCAGGCAGCAGTAAGGCTAATGCGCGCTGCCTATATGCAGCTCACATGCCAGGTGGTAGGGTGACCACTCTGCACCTGGTCCATGCCACCCCCAGGGGGCCGGGCTCGGGGGCCGGGGCCCCGCTCCCCAGGGGGCCGGGCCGGGCCGGGCCGGGCCGGGCTCGGGGCCCCGGGCCCCGCTCCCCAGGGGGCCGGGCCGGGCCGGGCCGGGCCGGGCTCGGGGCCCCGCTCCCCAGGGGGCCGGGCCGGGCCGGGCCGGGCCGGGCTCGGGGCCCCGCTCCCCAGGGGGCCGGGCCGGGCCGGGCCGGGCCGGGCTCGGGGCCCCGCTCCCCAGGGGGCCGGGCCGGGCCGGGCCGGGCCGGGCCCGGCCCGCTCCCCAGGGGGCCGGGCCGGGCCGGGCCGGGCCGGGCTCGGGGCCCCGCTCCCCAGGGGCCGGGCCGGGGGGCCGGGGGGTGGCCCCGCTCCCCAGGGGGCCGGGCGGGCCGGGCCGGGCTCGGCCGCTCCCCAGGGGGCCGGGCCGGGCCGGGCCGGGCTCGGGGCCCCGCTCCCCAGGGGGCCGGGCCGGGCCGGCCCCTTGCACCCCGCGGGGACCACCTCACCAGCGCGCCCCGCACCCCGCTGGCCGGGCCCCAGCCGCCCGCCTGGCACCTACTCCGCCTTGGCCTCCTCCGGGCCCGGCCCTTCCTCTCGCGGCCGGACCGGGTCCCCGCCGCCTCCCCTCGACCGCTGCCGGGTCCCTTTGGCCGCCATGCCGAGCTCGGGCAGCAGCGCGCCGGGCTCCCCCCGCCGCTCGCGGGAGACGCACGGGCTGAGGCCGGCGGCCGCCATACTTAGTGCGGGCAGCCCCAGGCGCCGGCTGCAGCCGCCGCCGCGCCCGGGGACCCGCTGTGCTCAGCTGAGCCGGGCTTCGGTCCGCTCCCTGCAACGGGCACCGGGCGAGGGAGGCAGGCAGGGAAAAGCTCCCCGCTGTGCGCTGAGCGTGCAATTCTCACCGTGCAAGAGGGGTGTATAGGAGAGCGCCCCCCTGTGGGCCGAGCATGCAATTCTCATTGTGCAAAGCGGGAGTGCACAGCTGTATGCAATAAGAAAAGGAGGACTTGTGGCACCTTAGAGACTAACCAATTTATTTGAGCATCAGCTTTCGTGAGCTACAGCTCACTTCATGCTCAAATAAATTGGTTAGTCTCTAAGGTGCCACAAGTACTCCTTTTCTTTTTGTGAATACAGACTAACACGGCTGTTCCTCTGAAACCTGTATGCAATGTGCGCCATTTCTCTCCGTGCAAGGGAGGTGCATAGGAGAGCGCCCCGCTGTGCACTGAGCGTGCTATTCTCACCCGGCAAGGAGGTGCATAGGCGAGCGTCCTGTTGTGTACTTCTCTCCATGCAACGGGGGGGTTGTATAGGAGAGCACCCTGCTGTGCAATTCTCATCATGCAACTGGGGGTGTAAAAGATGCCCCACTGTGCAATGGGTGTGTGCAAGTCTAACCCTGCAAGGGAGGGTTGTAAAAGTGAGTGCCCCACTATGCAATGTGATTGTGCAAGTCTAACCCTGCAAGGGGGTGTAAAAAGAGCACCTCTCTGTGCAGTGAGTTTTACCATGCAAGGGAGTGCACAGGAGCACACCCCACTGTGCACTAAGTGTACAACAGTCTGTGCTAGGGGAGGGGTGCAAAGAAGAGCACTCCATTAAGCATGGAATTGAGTCTCCCCGTACAAGGGGTGTATGCAGAAGAATGCCTCCTAAGGGGGCCACCCCTCATATGAAATGGAAAAATCCTGGGAAGATCCAAAACCAGTTAAGGTTGTTTAGTGAGAACATTGTCCTTTATTACAATCCTTATGCTATGCACTATAGCATGATGCTACCAGTGCCAGATATACCATCCATACACAGCATGGTTTGTTACTCTTGTGTTATTTTCCTGTGGACTCCCAGTCTTGCCTTGCACCTGTTTTCAGTTTCTAAACTGTGAACAGAACGGTCAAACTAGAATCAAATAGGGTGTCATATTTCCAGCTCCTCCCTGCAGTGGCTACACCCATTAGAGACTCAAAAGATCCCACTTCAAAACCCATAATGTACCTCCCACTGCCTTGGATTAGGCAGCTTCTGCTGTATCCCTTCTATAGAAAGAGATGCCACAGATCTGAGGCATGCTTGGGTTCAGTTGGGTGTTGACTTCTTGTGGTGAGACCACTTAAGCCTCCATGACTTGACACAGAAATATGCTCAGACATTTTAAACCAGTAGTGGGCAATTGTTGAAGTTTTCCTGTTTCAAGTGTGCCTTATCAGAGAGGCCATCAATAAGTGCTTCCCGCTGAATATAATCAAAACAAGATTGGGCAGACTTGTCCAGAGAGTTAACAAACTCACCTTTGGCACAAATAAGCAGAATCACTTCCAACTCCACCTTTTTACAGGAACCTGTTAAAGAAAACACCCCCTGAGATCTGACATTTCAACAGTCATATACAATCAGACAAGGGGAAGGCAGCTGAACTTTATTATTTTTTGAGAGCAGAATTAAAGGCAGGTATATAATATTTTAAATTAATCTGCACAGCCTTTATAAGAGGCATGATTTGGCTAGACATAATAGTAACACACAGTGTTAAGGGACCACACAACATGAAATCCAGGCTTCTCACAGGAAAGTGAATGAAGGGTGCTCTTGATGAAGGTCTGAAAACAGCATACAATGATCTACCTAAGAGTTATGTGCAAACATTGCTGTATCTTCTTTCTAAACTGCATCTGCATCTCTGCCACCTGCTGACGAGTAAGAGCCTTGTCACAGGACTGGAAGGTTAGTCTGTAGCAGAGGCTGGTTTGTCCAGTCTGTGGATGCTGAAAGCTGTCAAGAAGCTGGATGGACATGACAGTTTCCTGCGACACACACCTGGCAATGGTGTGAAATGCAATTTCATCAAACTGTTCCCACTCAGGAACCCAGAAGCTGACATCATGCACATAGGAAGGTGGATGGAGTGAAAAGCTCTTGAAGGGTCCTAACTCTCCTCCAATAAACTGATTCAGGAAACGCTCATCTAAGGTCCACAACATTCGCCAGTCAGAAATTCCACAAATTTGCATGGCTAGCAGGTCAAGATTCACGGATGCAAACACAATGCTCAGTTCACTGTTTACTGTCCCACAGGGAGCTGCTGATATGTCTCCTATGCAAGAGCCATTGGCTTTGGAGTCTGAAGTGTCAGTTTTCACACAGATGAAATATTGAGTTTTATCAAGCTGAGGCTCAGGCATGACTGAATCATTTAGCTCAATTGTTTTAGAGCTTTTTGCTTCCTGTACTGTGGAGTTCAATGTAAAACATGAAAGAGGTGGGAGCAGAGAACTTACAGTGTTTTTAATATTATCCATAAGCATCTGGATACAGCTGCCCTCTGTACCCTTATCAACTGCACATATAAAAAGAGTCTCATGAAAAACAGGCAGAGTGTGAGGAGAGATCAGACACTTCCTAAAGACAGGCCCAGTGAGAACATGCAGAGTCCCAGGGAGAAAGCTCAGCCTTCGTACCACATCCTGAACATAAACCAGATGGGAACATCTAAGACGATAACGTTCTGAGAGCTGGTCTCCCTCCTGAGCCTTCATCCTGTCACATTGATCTATGTCCCTACAGAAATGAAGGCCAGGAAATAAGACACTTCTTGCTGTTCCCTTACCTGGAGGTTCAGAACTTGAATTTTGTTCTGTGTTGGGAATGATCCAAAAAGCGTTCGACTGAGAAACAGCACTTAGGTGTCCTTGGTGCAGCAGAGAAAGGGAATGGTCAACCCTTTGTAATGGGAAGGTTTGGCTGAGTTGAGCGATGAGCTTTTCATTAATAGTTCTTACAGGATGATCTGAATTGGTATCTAGGAAACCCCTATTAAAAACAAAACAACAGATTATAAAAATCACTGCACTTAGACTTGTAAAACCATTTTCCTCGGTTTATAATTTAAGACAAGTATGATGAATGACTTCTCCAAGTGATCCTTAATGTTAAGCTTGCTTTCAATAGCCACCTGGACAAGGAAAATCTTTAGTCATGGTGGCATAGTTATTACCAAGACATCTGCAGGACATAAGGGTTTGTGTTAAGAGTTGCAATTGAGGATTTGTTGCACTTCGGCTGGTGGAAGGAGGAGGACTTTCCTCACAAGTATCAGCTGACTTCCATTCACTATTAGCATTACAAGCTTATTTAAGGAGGCCAATCAACGTATGTTAGCTCTGGATCTTTTCCAGAATATGAACCAGTTTAGAGACAGATTAAAAACTTGGTTATAGTTTTTAATCCTAACTAGCCTTAGCAATATTAGCACAGACTAAGCCACCTACAGGGCTGCTCCCAAATCATTGCACAATGTGTAATTAAAACTTCACTCTTCTACTCCTGTAGCTAGGAACAGTCTAACATCTTTGGCTAGCAAGTTATCCTCTCTCTTCTGAAGCCTTATGCTAAGTGGACCATAAATATGAAACCAACATGTGAAAAACATTAAATGACCAAATTTGCTCTTTTTCCCTCTGAGAGGAAATGGAATTTGGAACGTTTAATAATTACCTGTCTCAGAAATGCAAACTGATCATTCATGCAAGATTGTGGATTAAGTTAGCAGTGGACTGAGCCATTTTCTGGCTTTGTTTAGTATCAGCCTGGCCCAAATGCAGCCTGGCGAATAAATCTACAATCAAACCAGATATTGGACTTGAACACTTACCTGTTCATTTTATCCACAAATATTTCTGGAACTTGGAAGGAAATCCACTTGCCCTCCAGTTCAGTCTGGCAGATCACAGGCCTGGGATGTGGAAATGGCAAGCTCCGAGTGAAGATGTGGTTTAATGCACCTTCTACAGAGAAGGATTTATCCTGACTCCTGGCAACACACACACAAATGCACCATCTGGTAAAGTAACTGATATTTCTGACTAATATTAAACACACAAAAGCAAGTAAGTGACATTGAATAACTAGTAAACTGATAAGACTGAGTCAGTATCATGTTGTCTACATTGCAGAAGGTCTAGGTACAACCTTTGTCTAAGCAAATAGACCAATCATAGAATGCAGACTCCTTCCATCCCCTTAATATTATTGGTTCCACTTGGAAACAGAAATGCTAATCCTGAGATTTAAGATACCATTTTTTCTGTAAGATACTCTCTCAAAAGGCAAGAATGTCAGTGTTTCTTACCCATCCTAGGAAGAGATGGAAAAGAAGTACATTGTACTTTTACAGAATGAAAAAAAATTAGAGGGGGTTTCCTCTCCACAAGATAATGCTCTGGACCATGGTGTTGGGCACTATGGAAATACCTAGGAGCAGCATGAATATCAAGGACTTCCTTTTGCAGCATCTATAGGTTACCTGTAGCCAGTGCACTTATATCCATGAACATCCTCTGAGTTGAAGGGATGAACATCACTCAAGATAAATCCTGCTCCCGCTGCCATAGCCACGACTTGCCAGCTGTTGTGCCACTCTCTCATTGGCTGGTCAGCGGGCGTCCCTCCCTGACCTTTGCAAAGAGCCACATGGACCTCTCCCTTCTCTGTGAGCACGTCTGCGCAGCTAGAACAAGAACCAGCTGGTAATACTTTTGAAGGACACTTAGAAACAGAACAGTGACAGTAAAGTACATGGGGGAAAAGGGCCCTTTCTAAACAATGAATTTTAAACAGTCCCGGAAAATTGCTGTGAATTTAAGGCACTGGTTTCAGGAACCAGAATGCAGCTTCTAGAAAGTGGTTCAGCAGGCCACATGGTAGGAGATAAGTCTGTGCTACTTAATTTCACTTTACTCACCTACAGAAAAATTTCACAAGAAGCTCTCTATTCTTTGTTACCCCAGCTTTCCTCCCACAGTGAGGGAAATTGAAATAAATGCAATCAAAATTTCTCTTTGCTGGCAAAAAATAGTCCTTCAGTTTGGTACAGTCCACACAAAAGCAAACTTCAACCCCTGCAACAGTAAAGAAAAGCATGAGAGCAGGGGACTTAAAATGACAGAATCTTCATTGAAAAGACAAGAATATATATATATATAAGTAACAAGGTAGAAAGGGAGAGAGCGGGGTTGCGTTATTTTAATGGAGCTTTCAATCTGCCAAACAGCTTCTACTGTTGGTCATAAAGGTGGCAAGTGAAAAGGAAAAGACATAATCATAATCAAAATCATAGACATTAAGAAAAGTCCTATATAGTCCCATTTAGTTCATCTCATGGAGGCCAGTTCAGGATTGTTCCCCCATCTTATTTTCTAGTGCTTTGCCCAATCCAGTTTTAAATATCACATGGCATTTTCTTTCTTCTTCCCTTACCCCCGCTGCAGGTGATGTCAAGAAGTTAAGCCCTCTTCTACTTCTACCGCTGCTGCTAAGGCTTTTTTGTTGTTTTCTTTAGTCTGATTCTGATTAGATTTGAAGGTATGAGTATTTGGAGGGTTCTTCACTCCTCTGAGGGAATTTCTCCAGAATCCCCCTCATTTCTTCTGGGGAAGCGTTCTCTGGTCTGAAATTGATATTTGGAGGAATATTTCAAGTGCCTTAATTGTTCCTAAAAAAACCATCTCCTGTTTTAGTAACTTTGTTCTTTCCCCAGAAGCCCTTTATCACTGTTATGATCGATAATATTGTTCAATGCAAGGATCTTGTTTCAATAGTTGCTAAAATGCATTTCCTGTGGAATGATTCCACAGCCTGATAAATTTCACTGTCTGGAAGAATTTCACTGTATTTCTTCTTTTCATAATTTTATCCACTCCCTCACTTACTCACCCAGACAGCTGTGGGGAATACTTAGCATTCAGCACAGTATGGCAAAGTGATTTCCTTTGGGGATTTCTTTACCTTTCCCTCTCAGATGCTGTATGTTATTTTTAGCAAGTGCCTGTCTGGAAACTCTCTCTTCACTCTCATAGCAAGTGGCGGTGATATGAGTCTCATGATCGCTGGCATCACACAAGGAGGCAGAGAAGGAGAAGTTTCCTTCCCCGACTAGAAGGAGTCGGCGGGTGGGTCTCATGGTATCAAAATCCTAAGAAGTAGGAAGACAGATCAGGGCCCCCTTGGGCTGTCACAGTTCCAGCCTCCAACAAGAAGCCTGGTAGCCCGATGCATTACAAGGGGCTGCCAAAGTGCGGGGGTTGAGGCTGAGCTTTTGGACCTACGTGAACGGTTCACTTGCCTCCCACTTTGGGGGAAAGGGCCTCCCCATTTCATCCCCACCCTCCCACGTAGAAAACAGACCTTAGACCTCTCCCCATCAAAAAAAAGGCCCCATCTGCACCATAGCCCACCCCACCGCAGCACCCGCCTGCCCCCCCGTTGGGAGGGGAGACCCCATCGCAGAGCCCGCGCAGGGAGAGGGGACACCCCTCTGGCCTACCCAGGGAGGGGAGACATCCCCACGGCCTGCCAGAGCCCAGGGCTCCAAGGGAGGGGGTGGGGCGGGCACCCTACATTGGAGACCCCCCAACGAGCCCTAACCTCCCCCAGGGACCCGTCCCGAGGCCTCTCAAAGGCCCCTCAGCCTACTGCCCCCCCCGCCGCCGCCGCCGCCGCCGCCAGTGGACGCCCTACTCACCGATGCAGAGACCGTCACTCCCCTGGCCTGTCACTTCCGCGCGGTGATTTGCCTCACTTCCGGCGCGCGGCGCGTGACGTCAGACGCGTCTCCCGGCTTCCATGGGAACAGGCTCGGCTCCGCCTCTCCAAGCGGCGCTCGGCTGTCGCGTCGGGACCCGCTGGCAAGTCCGCGCCCCAGAGCGGCGCCTCCTCTTCCCCGGCGGCGCGTGGGGACGCGTAACGTCCCCGCCGGTGACTTCATCGCCCCAGGGCCCGGCCACGGAGCGAGGGGGCGTGGCCTGTGGTTCACGGGCGGGTCAGGGTGAGCTAAGAGGCGGGGCCTGTCGTGCGCGTGGGCGGGGCTAAATCGGTGGGCGGGGCCTGCCGCCCGAGCTCGTCGGGCTGGGCCTGGCAGGCGGGCTTTCTGGGGGCCACGGCGGGGACCGAGCTCCGCGGCGGAGGCCCCCGTCATGCAAGGGGGAGCCGGGCAGAGACGTGGGAGGGGCTTGCTTGGGTGCAATGGGCTGGCTGGGGCCTTGTAGAGGGCAGTGACCAAGGAGCTAATGCTGGCAGCATGGGAGCCCTGTGCTCAGGTCTCTCTGCCTGCAGCGCTGCTGACCTTGCCTGGTGGGAGCTCCTTGCCCGGAGAGCGGTCCTCCCCGCAGGGGCAGAGCTCACCTTGCAGGTCACAGTCACTCAGGCGCTTGCGGCTTCTGAAAGCGTTTTCTTTTCTCCGCTGCCCAGCTTCTGGTTTGTTTTATTCTTTGTTCGTTTGTTTTCTGTACAAAACAGACAGGTTTCAGAGTCGCAGCCGTGTTAGTCTGAATCCGCAAAAAGAAAAGGAGGCCTTGTGGCACGGTAGAGACTCACCAGTCTGTTTGAGCATAAGCAAAACAAACAGGGAAATTCGGCACAAAACACTCCATTCAAGTAGTATGGTTAACGTTACATCTCTAAACGAACCGAACTGTACTACTGTTCCCTTCCAGCTGTCATACTAATTCGGCGATGTCGCCCATGGGGAATAGTTCCTGGCCCCCTTTCCCAGATGCATTGTGTAGCTCTGTGTGTTACTGTTTGGGCCATTAAGTGTATCCCATAAAACACGCCAATTTATGATTTGCATTTCCAGAATTTTCAGTATTTCAAGTTGTAACCTGAACATTATACTAAGATGTGTTTTGGCTTTGATTAAACAATAGTCCTTAGCCCTGAGATAGCATATTTCAGCCTCAAACCTCTGTGTAGACACTAACTTTGCAATATAATACTCATTCTGTAATAGAGATTTCACATGCCTGTTTGGCCTTAGGTAAATAGAGTTTTTCTTCATATAGGGCTTAATCCAATGCCTCCTGAAATCAGTGGAAGTCTTTTAACTGATTTCAGTGTGCTTTGGATCAGGTCCATGCTGAGGGGGAGTTAGTTATCTAACTCAAGTGATACATTTTTGATTCTAATCACCATACATGAGGCTTAGTAATGAGTACTGGGTAGTATTCTGGCACTTGGAGGTAGCTACTGAGCTAAGCAATATAGCTGATCTGGCTGCTGATCTCGCTGCCCGCGTGGGGAGCTTTTATGCACATGTTTAATTTTAAGTCATTGCTAAGTGTCCAGATGCGTTGCTCTGGCAACATCTGCTCACAAAAGTTTTCAGTAAACAAAAAGTGTTACAAGCGTCTCACTTCACAGATTCACAGTAGCTGGTGACATCAGCACTAGTTGATGATAAGGACATGAGCTCATAAACGTGATCAAATCAGTTTTTCTGGCTGCCTGCCACAGCTCCTGGTCCCTGCTCCTCCTCCATTGGTACAGCCTTTGGATGTTTAATATCAGCGACACCAACCCAGTAAAGTTGCTGCACTCATGTCCACACCAGTGTTCTGAGGTTCCTGTGTGGAACTTTTGTCTGAGACCCTTGGATGAACTGCATAGCTAAGAACAGGACGCAGGGTTTGTGATTCCAGAACAGTTGTGTGCCATGGAGCAGAGTCTTATGTCACTGGACCCATCAGAGTCCACAGAGTCTGAGGTATTTTTTGTACAGGGCTAGTATCCATGTCTCCCTTGGCTCCTGATCCTTTATAGTGTTCTTCGGAAAACATTAGGCTACTTGATTCTGTTCATAGACTTTTGTAGATTCGTTTCCTTTTTCCATTCACCATCAACACATTCTTCGAATTCCTTTTCAAAGCTTTCTTCTTCCAAGAACCTCAAATACTAACCCATCTCTGAAAAGTGCAGCCTCCAATAGGGGCGAGGAGAATCTTTAAGCACCCAGATGAAGATCACTGCAGAATCAGGGCCAAGGTTAGCACCACCCTTCGGGCCTCCTGTTGTGTTCATGAGCTGTCCAGCTATTGGACTGTGTCTTCCTTTGTATCTTGTGTGGAGCTGAGTCCATTGTCAACACCTTACAAATAAATTGTAATAATAATGTTTTATTTTCTATTTCCAAAACCTCTTTTCTCTACAAAAGGGCCCAAACCAGAACTCCAGATCCAAACATTGGGATGTTTGAAATCTTCAGCCATGTCCCAAGATTCTTGCTCAGAACAACGTGTGTATTTTGCAGTTCTGAGGAACTGACTAATTTCAAAGACTAGAATTTTCCAGTGTTGGAATTCAGCTGCCTGAATTAGGATCCACTCTCAATCCCCACTCTGATTCACTATCATAATGAAAATCTGGAGACCTCTTCCTGAACTGTAGGGGATGAATGAACAGAACAGTTAATCATCAAGTGATCCATCCCCAGTCGCTCATTCCCAGCTTCTGGCAAACAGAGGCTAGGGACACCATCCCTGCCCATCCTGGCTAATAGCCATTGATGGACCTATCCTCCATGAATTTATCTAGTCCTTTTTTGAAGCCTGCTATAATTTTGGCCTTCACAACATCCTCTGGCAAGGAGTTCCACAAGTTGACTGTGCGTTGTGTGAAGAAATACTTCCTTTTGTTTGTTTTAAACCTACTGCCTATTAATTTCATTTGGTGGCCCCTAGTTCGTGTGTTATGAGAAGGAGTAAATAACACTTCCTTATTTACTTTCACCACACCAGTCTTGACTGTATAGACCTCTATCATTTCCCCCCTTAGTTGTCTCTTTTCCAAGTTGAAAAGTCCCAGTCTCATTAATCGCTTCTTATACAGCAGCCATTCCATACCTCTAATCATTTTTGTTGCCCTTTTCTGAACTTTTTCCAATTCCAATATATCTTTTTTGAGATGGGGCGACCACATCTGCACGCAGTATTCAAGATGTGGTCGTACCATGGATTTATATACAGGCAAAATGATATTTTCTGGCTTATTATCTATCCCTTTCTTAATGATGCCCAACATTCTGTTCGCTTTTTTGACTACCACTGCACATTGAGTGGATGTTTTCAGAGAACTATCCACAATGACTCCAAGATCTCTTTCTTGAGTGGTAACAGCTAATTTAGACCCCATCGTTTTATATGTATAGTTGGGATTATGTTTTCCAATGTGCATTTCTTTGCATTTATCAACATTGAATTTCATCTGCCATCTTGGTGCCCAATCACTCAGTTTTGAGAGATCCTTTTGTAGGTCTTTGCAGTCTGCCTGGGACTTAACTTTCTTGAGTAGTTTTGTATCATCTGCAAATTTTGCCACCTCACTGTTTACCCCCTTTTGCAGATCATTTATGAATATGTTAAATAGAACTGGTCCCAGTACAGACCCCTGGGGGACACCACTATTTACCTCTCTCCATTCTGAAAACTGACCATTTATTCCTACCCTTGTTTCCTATCTTTTAACCAGCTACCGATCCATGAGAGAAGCTTCTCTCTTATCCCATGACTGCTTGCTTTGCTTAAAAAGCCTTTGGTGAGGGATCTTGTCAAAGGCTTTCTGAAAATCTAAATACATTATATCCACTGGATCCCCCTTAACCACATGCTTGTTGATCCCCTCAAAGAATTCTAGAAGATTGGTGAGGCATGATTTCCCTTTACAAAAAACATGTTGACTATTTCCCAACAAATTATGTTCATCTATGTGTCTGACAATTTTGTTCTTTACTATAGTTTCAACCAGATTGCCCGGTACTGAAGTCAGGCTTACCGGCCTTTAATTGCGAGGGTCACCTCTGGAGCCCTTTTTAAAAATTGGCTTCACATTAGCTATCCTCCTGTCATTAGCTATCCTTCCAGTCAGTGGAAGGAAACTCTGTTAAGTATCACTCGAATAATAACCCTAAAAGACTTCAAATAGGAAAAGGTCTGAACAGGTGATGTGGAGTTTGCAATTCACAAATTCTAATCCCAGCTCAGACAGCTCGCTGTGGCCTTGGGGAAAATGAGGATAATATTATTCTGAAGGGTCTAGTATAGTTTGTGACGGTTGATGAAGCTGAAAAGAACTAAGTGTTATTATCTAAGTAAGGAAAGATAAATTACAAACACATGCACACACACAAATTCAAATTAAAGTTTTTGCATTGATAGAAATAAATGCTGCTCTGCTAAGTGAAGGGTTGGGAGCTGCATGCCCAGCTGCTGGGAGGGTGGGGAACATATTTCAAGAGTGCTGTTTTGTCTTTTCAGAGATCAGGGACATCCCCAATGTGTTTTTGGGTTTCTGTTCCTAGGTCATGTCCCTATCTTGTTTCTATAACCCTCACCATGGCTCCTTGATACATGCCACCGGCCATGCAGAAGTGTGGACGGACTGGAACAGCACCTCCAAGTTTAGCCAGTATGGCTGGAGATGCACCACCAATGAGGATGCCTACTCCAAGAAAACCCTTATGGGGAATTGGAACCAGGAGCGGTATGATATCCGGAAAATCGCGCAGCCAAAACCGCTTCCTTCCCAGGTACAAACTTTCTGTTCCTCCTGTCCTTTTGATTGACCTCTAAAAGTGAAATAGCAGATACCGTCAAAAGCCCCAGCCCTACAGTCTCTTTCGTTCACTGTTTGCTCCACCCTGACCCCATTAGCAGGGGCAAGAACTTGAGAAATTTCCTTTTGCTCTCCAACACCCAACCTCTGATCCATCACTAAAAAGGCCCAGTCTCACTCAGCTTTGGCCATTCTTAGCTCCACTCACTTTACTTTCACCTGGTTCCTGGTGTTCTTTCCTTTGCTGTTAATGTCCTGCCCCTAGCTAGTGACTCAAGGGCAGAATCTGTAAGCCACAAGTTACTGTGCAAGTTCTGCCCTTCAGTTACTCTCCGCAAAGCCATTGAAGTCAGTTTGTGCCATTCGTAACTCAGCAGTGTTTCACAGGCCAGAGCTGTTTCTGCTTTGGACTCATGGTTCTTCCCCTCACCATATCACTGGGCTCCTTGGCATTAATGATATCAGGTTTCATGTGACAAAACTACAGGCATGTCCGTTCTGCAGTGGCCTTTAGCTTACCCAGAGTGTAAAGAGGGATTATGATTTCAGATGCTTTGGTGAGCAGGCTATTCCTTTAACAGATATGCAGTATTTTTTTTATTAGATGTTTGTTTACTTATATTTTGCTGCACTAAACATGGGCTTTTCCTTTCAGTATGCTCACTACTTTGAATCAATTTATTCATCAGATTACAACAAGGAAAGGCATCACGGCTCAAGAAGTAGGTGCATGGAACTGAAGTGTAGTCACTTTGATCTGTGTGGTAGCTAAAAAGAAGTTTTTAAATGACAATCATATGCTCAGAGAAGAAAACAGAGTTCCAGCGTGTCCATTCCCTACTGAGTCATGCCCCTAGATCTAAATGGTAGTTCTTATTTCCAGTCCCACAGGATCTGTGGTGTTTGTATCTCGGGTGTTCTCTTTATATTCTTCAGACTGAGAGGCTAAAGTTCCTCATCAAAATTACATGTGAGGCTCTTGATCCAAAATCCCTATTTGTTGCTCCTGACCCTCTGCCTCATCAGTTTTAGACCCTTACAAACATCTACTTTGCAGAAAACAGCTCATCCCTCTATCTATTCAATCTCATTTTCCGGCTGTGTTTGACGGCTATGAAGACATTTCACTCCAGCTAGGGACATTTTGCTAATCTCTCACCTTACACGCGATATTGTAGAAGGGACATGAGGAATATTCATATGGGTATAACATTTTAAAGCAGAACATGCTTACAGTATCATCAGATTAAAGCATAATGGATAAAAAGACTGACATTGTGGACCAAATTCTCTCTGGAGAGAGAGATGGGATGGGAACAGAATTTACAAAAACAGATCAAAATACTACTCCATCTAGTCTGGAATCCCTGACTCTTATCTGTGTCAGAGCACATCTGGCCTTTCCATTCCAGTACCCAACCTCCTGCCCCGCCAAACCAGACCATAGCTCTGTCTAGTCTTGTATCCCATCTTTGTCCATGGCCAATACCTGATTCTTCAGAGCAAGATGTAAAAGCTCCATAATCTGCACCTTTAAATCTGGCAATGTTTCCAGAATGGTTGAGTGGATTGTTTGGCTTTCCTGACCTAGGATGGGATAGCACTTAGGTGCTTTCGAAATCCTATGCTATGGGACCCTAGCACCTTATACAGGATCTTTCCAGTGTGTTCTTTGTCCCGGAATTATGATAAAACCCTGGACAATGCCAACTGGCTGAGAGTGCATAGTATCCTTCAACCCGTGTTCAGCTTCCCAATAGGCTGGTAGAAGTTGTGTCTGCCCCTGGATTTGTTCTTCCTGTTGTCTCATTTCCTGACAATAGCCTTCTCGTTGCTTTGCCTTTAACTCATCAGTTTTCTCCTTTCTGCTCTCAGGATTTAAACAAGAACCTCATTGGTTTCCTGGACACCAGCCTGAGCTGGAACCCCCTCCAGTTAAACCGACTGCACGGTCCTGCTACATGATAGATTACGGACCTCCTCAAGGCAGAACTCCCCTCATTTGTGAAATTCGGGGAAAAGAACAGGAGGGGGCACAGCAGAAGCAATAGGAGCAGAGAGAGGCAGTTAACCTGAGATCAGCCCAGTGGTTAGAATGACTCCAACCTGTTTGCTGCTAAGGGACCATCCTTCAAGTCGTGAAACATTTCTGATATTAAAACACAGGGCATCAGAGTGACAAGTAAATGCTTTCTGAGGCTTATGCCCTATTGTTTGTCGCTCCATATGTTATTTCTGCCTTCTGACATTTTAATTTTTACTTTGCACAGAGGACTCTGACATTTCCTTTTGCTGAGAGAGTGGCTTCCCATGGCATGATACCAAGACAAATAGACCTGAGAGTGTTTTAAAAATGTAACCGAATTTCATCAGCAAGTGGCTGTTTATAAGTGTGACCAGTTAGTTTTCCACAAAATCTGATTAATTTAATTTTATTTCTGTCACTTTAAGGCCCTAGGGAATGGCATATTTGGCTTCAAAATCTGTCACTTCTGAAATATTTCATGTGTCTAGTGAGGCGAAGATAATGAACTATCTGAGAAAATGAAGTTTAGAGTCTAATAGAAATGTCACCACTCGTACATCACGGGACAGATGTGCACATGGCAATTCTCTCTACTCCCTTCTGTGCTAGAGTTACAGACTAAACTGGATCAATGCTACCATTGCTTTCCCTTTGTCAGCATCCCTCAGGGTTGAGCTGCTGGTGACAATTGATGGCAAACTCTGTAGCATTTTATATCACTCTACAATCAGCTGAACATTTTATACGTCAGCTGCTATTTATTGTTTGAAGGGCACTGGCTGCATAGTTTCAGAGTGATGTGATTTGTACCATGAGAGCAGGACATTTATCTCTGCTGTTGCTGTAACTGTGTATACAGCAGCTTTGCAACTGTAACCTGTGTCTGCTCTGAATTAGTTGCAGCCTTTGCACATTTCCTCACAACATGGGCCATTCTAGAGATTTCCAATCAAATTTTCCTCCCTTAAGTGTCATCTAATGCCCATAACTAGAGTGGGTTTAGGCTGTCCTGGAGTTTTTGAACCAATTAAATTCATTTCCCCCAGAGCAACTTTTCTGATGCTTGTAAGACACAGTCAGCAGGAATCTGGGATTTGTAGAGGTCTGATCCAGACAGAAATATTGAGAAAAAATGGATCATGCAACTAGGTGATAGCAAAAAATGTCTGCATATAAAGTGAAATCAGCATCGCAAAGTGTTCCTTAGTGCCTCAGGCTGGGGGAGACTTTGGTTTCATGAAGCCTGATGTCCTCTGAGCCTCTAAGTGTTTCACTAGCTCCTTGAGCCCCCCATTCCTCCATCATCAGCCTGTAGGAAAGGGGCAGTGCGGGGGGGGGCGGGGGGAGGTATATTTAGCTTCAAACTAAACTTTTGCCCTCTCTGAAGCTTGCAGAGTCCTCTGGAGGCAACTCTCTTCTCAGCTTCCCACTACCTATGTGCCTCCGAGAGGAAGAGAATGGGAGCATGGGGCCAATGTCAGAGGTTCAATCATCACCCTCCTAGCCTGTGGCCAACACAAACTAGAGAAGCTACTGAGGAGCCCGGAGAAAGGCTTTGCTTTTTGCTGCTGGTTCCTGATCTCCATGCTCAGTAGGAGGATTCACTTTAGTCCCAGTAAGCACAGCAATCCCTTGGGCCTGGCCTAGAGCAGGGAGATGATGCTGTTGTGTATCATGCAGTTCTGTGTCCAGTTCCCCCCACCAATACCACTGGCCCATTCATATTTGTGAGCATCTAATACAGCATCTTGCCATTTCCAGCTCTCCGGGTTCATTATGCAGGTATCAAATCCTGCAGTCCTTATTCAGTCAAAACTCCCACTCAAGTCAAGGGTGTAGCAAACACCAAGGAAGGGCTGAGCAAACATCAAATAAAATCTTCAGGGTTTGGCACCAGAGGTATATGAAGACATTTTAGAGCTGGCTTGGCTATGGGGGACACTGTGGGCTGTGGGGGAGTCTGTCTAAATCAGGCTATGTATGCTGCTTCCTACAGACTGGACACCAATAGTATCTTAGACTGTAAGCTGTTTGGGGCAGGGACCATCTTTTTGGTCCTGTGTTTGTACAGCACCTAGTACAGTGGGTTTCTAGTGCATGACTGGGGCTTGTAGACATTATCACAGTACAAATAATAAGTAATTGCATGCATATATCCCAGAGGCCCAGTCTTACCAAGCTTTGCTATAGTAGCAGTGACACCACATGCAAGACCCTAACATTCAAAGACAAAACCACAAGATGCTTATTTATGTTTTATTTGTTAGCAAATGAGCTTGTTCTCTTTCCTTAGCATAAATAAATAAGTATGGCCAGTCAGTACAGCATACGCTGCTTGCATCCAATGGAAAGGTTTTCCTGGATGGAAAAGTTGGTTTCATACAGCTTTCTACTTCCTCTGGGCCCCTGCAATGGCAGATTTCTCCTCGCGGGTGATGGGAATGGTGCGCTCGGGAACATCGGTTTGTTTCCTTGGTCCATTCACTGTCAGGACTCCATCCGAAGACAGGGATGAGGTGATGGACAGAGGATCCACATCCGCTGGGATCCTGTATTTCCTGTTGAACTCCCTGGCAATGAAGCCATGCTCATCCTTATTGAAAGGGAAGGAAAAGAACAGCCCTGGTTTGATGTGCCAGCTCAGTTCCAACTAACAACATTCCCCCTGAGCTGAGGTCAAGTTCAGGAAGCTCCCGCCCAAAAGGGAAATGTTTCAGAAAGTTTGGAGTATCACTGTCTGGAGAGACCTTGGCAAAGTGGCAGGGCTAAACTGAATTCAGATACTGCGCTGTGCTGTCCAGGCTTAAGCTGGTAGCAGGCTTGAGAACCCTACAAACTTCATTTCATGGTGGGGCTTTTGCTTCCTAACTCAGTTCATCAGATTGCCCTTATTCGTCGGAGTTCTACTGTTGTCCCATTAAACATTTCAGGCAGAGAAATGGCCAGTACCACTCCCCAGCCATTCCCCAGGGTCTCAGTGTACATTACAATGCACATATTCCTAAGCGTCTGATCTCCAGTACAGCACTCTATTGCTCCTTTGCTCCTAGGAAGTTTTGACTTCACCCTCCTCCGAGCTGTCACATAGGTATTAAGGGCCAAACTTCAGCAGGAGCTGCACTCAGGTAACCAAGAGCAAAATTCAACCCTTTGAGTTGCATGTACAAGCTGCTGTTATGGGTCTTTGCCAGAGAAACATATCGTGAAGATTAACAATACAGGTAGTGTCTGATACATCATTTGGTTTAATTATTAAAATTCTTTTCATTGTTAACTGACTTAATCTTAATTAGTTCAATAATCTCCAAACTCGGGCTTTCCCATCCCTGCACTCCTGGCCCCTTCCCAACAAGAGAGAGGTTCAGAAATGTTCATTTTATGAATGGTTTTCCACATCAATAATCTCTGCCCCGCTACTGCCCAGGCTGTGATAGGTCAGGGGGATGTATTTGGGACATGGGCATCTTTGTTAGAATGAAATGATTAATGAAAGTGAACAGAAATTATTTCAGAGTAGCAGGCAACAAGGTGGTTTTGCCATCTTGTTAGATCCTTGCTTAACAGGTGCAGGGGCAGTTCAGACTTTACCACAGAGCAGATATACCTGGCGCTCCTCGTGTTTCCCATGGACCTCGATCACATCCCCCAACACCTTGACTTTTAGGTCCTCAGGAGAGAAATGCTTCACGTCGACATTTACGGAAAACTTGTCCTTCTCCAGTCGCATCTGCAAACCAAGGGGCTGGTTAGAGAAGAGTAGCTCCAGTGCTAGCTGTGGGTGTCACCCGGCATCAGGCAGGTCAACGGAAAAGCGCCTATGAATTTTAGTGATGTAGAACCAAGCCCTAGTTTGGGAGGCCAACATGCCCTGCCCCTCAAGGGCTGACTAAGGCAGGAACAGTCTGTCTAACTTGCCCCTTTGTTTCAGTCTTGGATCCCAGTCATGCCGGGTTGTCTCTGTCTACCTAGGTTTTTTTATTGTTGCGCATCCCTGTATTATCTGAGTGCCTTTGCCTTCTTGTCTTGACTAGCGGAGGATAAACACTTCCTTGTGGAGTGTTAAAGGGGCACACTGTATCTTGAACTTTTAGAAATTGATCAATAAATTGGCATATGATCAATTTTTATGATCTATTATTATTTGTTTGTAATTCTTTTACAGAATTATTTGGGGCTTTCTGCTCCCCTTATTGATATTTACAGGGGTCTTGTCAGCACTGGAGAAAACAACTGTGCATTTGACTCCACCTTGTGTGTAGTCAGGTCACATTTTCCCCTGTATAGTCAGAGTCTTGACTAACCTAACTAATGTGTCATTGGCAAATTTTGCCACCTAAGCCCTCATAATTGATAAATACATTTATCAGTATTTGTCCTGGTATGAAATGCTGAGTCACCCCCTGCTAATCTTTTGCCTTCTTAATTTCCTTTACCAGGTATAGGAAGTGCTGCATTCTATTGGATGCTCTAGGGTTGATGTCCCATTTCTGAAGTGTACCTGTTTGACTTGAATAACTTCTTGGACCATGCCATTTAGCCAAACTGTTTTCCTTCTTGCCTTCCTGCTTAATTCATTTTTCTTTTGCTGAGGGATGTACATGCCTTCTGAGACTGTTATGAGATGCTTAAATAGCCTCCATGCTGACTCTAAGCAGTTCAGTTTCCTCACTTTTGACTTGGGGTCTCTTTGCTTCCTCAATTGTTTGGGTTTCCCTTCCTAAAATTTAGTTTTTGAACAAGATTCCTCCATCTAGAGTGCTGAACCTAATTACACTGAGCTCTCTACACTTTGTGAGTGAAGAGTTGCTTTGGTGCCAAGCAACACACAGAAGTTGGTTCAACAGGTAACTGGGTCTGAGCACTAAGTCAAGAAAATGAAGAGAAAAAAGTATTTCCCCATAATGTCTTTCAGTTAGAGTAATCCTAGATGTTATTTGTACCCCTGGGTCTGATGCAAAGTCCAATGAAGTAGGAAGATGACCTATGTCTTCAAGGGACTTTGGATGAGCCTTAAATAGACACAAACTTTCCAGCCAGCAATGGGACTTTCAAGAGGGTAGTGTCCCTTTAAGACCTTGTTAGACACTAGTTCTTCAGCCTGCATTTCTCTTCGCTCACAGCCTACTGCTGTCAATGCCCTTGAAAACTTCAGACACCCAGGGCCTGTTCTGCCACTCACAGCCA